AGAGCAAGGGGGGACAATGGGGCAGCGGGCGAAAGGGATAGCCGCGACGCCGAGGCCGACGAAGGCGACTTCGAGGCGGCAGCGCCCGACTCGGAGGCGACCCGCGATGGCGAGAGGGCGGCGCCCGATAATTATGGAGGCCACCCGAGACGCCGAGGCCGAGACGAACGCGCTGGACTCAGAGGCGACGGGCATCGCAGCGACGCCGGCGGCTTTCGATCTCGAAGGGCGGACGGTGCGTGGACCGAGGAGGACATCATCAGGATGCACGAACGGACCATGCGACGATGACGGCGCTGGGCGCCGAGTTAACCGAAGACGCCCAGGCGGAGTTCATGGGCGCGACGCACGGGCATTGCGTTGCATTCCGCCAGGAGCTGGCCCCGCCCAAACGGGGCATCTCCAGCAGCAGTCTCGCGAAGCATGTAAACGCGATGACGTCGCGGGGGCGCGGCGCCGGACAAGAGGCAAAGGAGATGAGGAGGCGCCGCGGCGGGGCAGAGGCCCCACGCCGCTGCGCGCGTTGCGTTCCGCGGCGAGTCGGGGCCCAGCGGGCAGGCCGCGGGGTTCGAAGAGGCCCCGCCGGGGGCGCTGCGCGCGCGAGCAGGCCCCCTAGTGATGGCGTCGCCACTCTGCGACGGCGGGCGGCCCGCGCGGCTCCCAGCGCGCGCTGGAGAGCTGGGGCGCGAGGCGCCTGCGCCGCCGCAGTGGGGGTTGCGCCTCGGCCGAAGAGCTCGCCAGACGCGGCGCCGGGGATATTTGTTAGTCTGCGCGCGCTTGGGTTTCCGCCGCGCGAGGGTCGCGCGCGCGCGCCGATCGGGCCGCCCGCGGCGCAGGCGCCCCCGGCATGCTGGCTCCGAGCTACGGGGGCAAGCAGGGCGAGGTCCAGAGCCAGGTCCGGCGCGACGAGCACGCGGAGCACCGTGGCCGCGGGCTCGGGAAGGGAGAGGAAGAGCTGCCGGCGCGGCGCCCCCCGTCGAGGGCCGCAGGCGCGGAGGCGCAGACCCCGTTGTCATCGGCGAGATCGACGCACTCGACCCCCGCAGGGGCCACAGGGGCGACGACCAGAACCGACGCGACGAGCTCGCGAAACACCGGGGCCGCGGGTTCGGCAAGGGGGGGCTGCAAGGAGGAGGGGGGGAAGCGCCGCCCGCGCGGCGCCCCCGAAGGGGTGCAGGAGCAAAGGCGCAGGACTCCGCGTCGGCGCCGTCGGCGAGGGCGGCGCGCTCGACGCCGGCAAGGTCGGAGACGCCAGCGCAGCGGACAGCTGGAAGGGGTGGGGCGGGCCAAACCGCCCTGGCGCAGCAGCGCCAGGGGCTTCCGCGGCCCGCGCCCCCGTGCGCCAACGGGATACGCGGGCCCGCTGGAGAGAGCAGCTGGAAGCGCGGGCGGCGGGCGCGGCTGGGGGGCCGAAGGAGGGCCCCGCCGAGACGCCGCAGCAGCCGCCGGCAAAGGCGCGGCGGACAGCGGCCGCGGGCCAGCAGGGCAGCCCGAGGAGCCCGCCCATCCGCCAGCTGCTCCCCTGGGCCGCGTCGGCCGATGGAGCACCTGCCTTGCGCCGCGCCCGAGCCCGCTGGATCGACTCGGGGCGCCCCGGAGAGCCGTCTCAACTGCCGCCCTCCTCCTCGTCCTTCTCCCCCCCGTCCTCCCCCGACGCCTTCGGGGCCAGCCCGCATCGCCTCGCGCGCGCGCGAGCGCGCGCGCGCTGACGGGCGCGCTCGCATGCGCGCGCGCGCACACACGCGCGCACGCACACACGCGCGCGCGCACGCGCGCGCAGACGCGCGCGCACACGCGCACACGCGCACACGCGCGCGCATGCACGCGCACGCGCGCGCACGGACGAACGGACGCACACGCGCACACACGCACACGCGCACGCGCGCACATACGCACACGCGCACGCGCGCATGCACGCCCACACGCGCACGCGCGCACACGCACGCACGGACACGCACGCACACACGCGCACATGCGCACGCACGCACACGCGCACACGCGCACGCGCCCACACACGCACACACGCACACACGCACACACGCACACACGCACACGCACACGCACACACACACACACACAAACACACACACACACACGCACACTTACACACTCGCACACACAGGCACACACAGACACACACAGACTCACACAGACATACACAGACACACACACACACAGACACACACACACACGCACACTCACATGCGCGCACACGCACGCACGCGCACGCGCCCCGTCGCCATTTTGGCACAAGACGGAGCTTACCTCCCGCCCCGACCCCAGAGGCTCGAGGCTGAGGTGGGAGGGCAGCCCCTTCCGCAGGCCTGGCTGCGTCAGCTAGCTTTCAGTGAGCTCCTGGCTGGGGCGTCCCTTTTCGTCCCTCGTCGCTCCGAGGGCATAGGCCGTGCGTCGCTCTTGTGCGGCGGCGGCCTCCATGAATGACGGCGACGTGGTCCGCGGGCCGAAGGCCCCGTTCTGGGGGTGCCAGGGTTGCGGGCGCGCGAGCAATTGCGCGTGCATGCTGCGGTGCCGACGCGGGCTCGAGGCCCCAGCCCTTGCGCTGCGGCGTGCCGCGACATTCGGCGGCAATGGCGGCGGTAATATTTGTCGTGGTGCTGACCCTGGGCGCGGCCGCCCGCCCGCGTCGGGTTCGCGTCGCGAGGCAATGCCGGGGTCCCAGATCGCCGAGCTGCAGCAGAAGCTGGACCAGTTCCTGGGCGGGGGCCCCTCCAAGCCTGCCCGCGGCGCCGCGGGCGGGCAAGGTGCAAGGGGGCAGCAGGGCGGGGCGCGGGCCAACGAAGATGCCGGCGAGGAGCCCGACCCGCACCAAGTCCGAGCGTCAGAGTTGGAGGCGGCGATCAATGCCTGCGGCAAGGCCGAGGGCGCAGCGGAGGCGCGCGCGCTGCGGGCAAGCTCAAGTTGGCGCGCGCAGAGATCGATAGCGAGAAGCCGAGCATCACCCAGCACGCGGATGTTAGGCAAAGTCTCGCGCGGGCCACGGCCGGGCTGGAGAAGGTCACGGCGGAGTTCGAGGAGCATGCCAAGATGCTTGAGGAGCTCAACGCCAAGACGGCCGAGATCCAGGGGCGCCAGGTTGCGGCAAAGGCGGAGGTGGCATAATTGCAGCGGCAGCAGATTCAGCCCCTCCCTCGCGCTGCTGATGGCGACGATGGCGACAGCCAGCAGCCTTTGGATTTGACCCCCCCCCCGACACGCTGGAGGGCGTGGGCGCGATCAAGAGCATGCTCGCCGCCCCCGACTTTCAGGAGTTTGCGAAGATGTTCGCCGACATTGGGTCGCTGCTGGCGGCGATCGCGCAGGCGCAGGCGGGCCTCGCGGAGAGGATGCCGCCGAGGGGGGGGTGGGGGGGTGCCCGCCCCGCGCGACGCCGAGATGAACGGCGCCTTCGAAGACGAAGCAGCTGCGGAGGCCTTGTGAGGGGAGCATCGTGGCGAAACGCGGGCGTTCACCCAGGCCCTCCTTGAAGCCGAGCTCCAGCAGCCGAAGGCTGCGGGGCTTCAGCATAAACCCGACATGGGCTGACCGCGAAGACCACGGAGGAGGCGAGCGATATGGCTCACGTCTTGCCGAGTGATGTTGTGCGGTTCTACTCGTACATGCGTGAGTCGGAGTGGCTGCACCAGCAGACTTTCTTCGATATGAAGGCAGCAGGACATCCATTCGACGTGCTGCAGTACGGGCAGGGCGTTAACTTCAGCGGATTTGACATGGGAGGTGACCAGATGCACAGTGGCGCTGCTGAGCTGCCATTGCACCGTGAGCCTCCTCGCCCTTTGTTTTTGCAGCCAAGGCACGGGTCCGGCCACTTGGGGCCCAAGTGCATTGGCCTTCGCGTTTCAGCCCGCGGCGTAGGCCTTCCGCCGCAGTCCACTTCCCCCGCCGAGCTTGATGGCCAACTCCATGTTAGCTAGAATGGCAACAGCTGGGGCACTCTCAAGAGCACACAGGCACTGGTGGTGTTTGCGCAGAAAGTGGGCATAACTGAAGATGACCTGGCTGCGAGGACGGCCATGGCTAAGGGTCTGGGGTGGGACCTGTCGTGCGCTCCGTCGATTAAGTGTGCAGGAGGGCGGACATCAGCTGGGTTTGCCGTTTTTGCGAGGACTTCGGTGGGCCTCAGGCGGCCGTCGAGGTTGCCACGTGGCATACTTGTTCCTCACGGGTTATTGCTCGCTACGGTAGACGTGCCAGCGTTGCCCGAGCTGCTCGCACGTTTCGCATGCACGCGCGCCAGCGAGGGTCTGAGCAAGCGGAACCTCAACATTGTAAAGCACGCAGGGGCGACCTTGGAGGGGACCCACTTGTCGGCGTTCACGGCTGATTGGAACTTCTCGGCGTTTGTCGCAGAGACGTGAGGCATGCCTCGGAAAGTTTCGATGGCGATTCTGCAGCCAGGTATCGATGCCTGTGCTACCCCGAAAGCGAAGACCAATAGCGATTATTTTATGGCGTCGGCGGCCTTCTGCAAGCTTGTCGAGGCCATCGAGGTGGGCGGCATGTGGCCGCAGCGACCCCATCGACTTGTTCAACTCCGTTTACGGCCTGGGGCTTTGAAGCCGCGGCGGGTTGTCTACCACGCGCGCCAGAAGTTGCCAGTTGAACTCCCCATTGGCCCAACCCCCACCGGTTGATTGGCCCGTGGCCCGGGCGGTCGCTGAGGGGGCGAGCCGTAGAGCCGACCGCGGGGAGGTTGCCCTCGCCCAAGGGGTTTTGGTTAGAGCTTGGAAGGTTTATTCGGGCACCATGAGATTAGAGCTGGGAAGTAGAACTGGCGCGCCCATCAAGCGTAAATGGGGCTCAAGGGTAGGCAGTTGCAAGCCAAGTGAGCCCCCGTCCTGACCCACCCGAGGTGCAAAGTCGAAGGTGATATTCATTCGCATTTGGAGGGATGGGTCCGATTGCAGCAGGGGATGACGGACCTCCGATACACTGGTCAACGATAGCTCGTGCAGCCGGATAAGTTTGTTGACCGCGCTGACATGCAGGCGGTGGTCAACCTCGTTCAGATTACCAGCCAGTTCTCTGAAGCCGAAGGGTCGTCTCCGAGATTGGATCTCACCGTCCGCAAGGCGCGAGGGATCGCGGCGACCTGACCGCAGGAATTGGATGCCCTCGCTGGGTGGATTGACCGCTGCCCGAAGACCTTGGATGAGTGGGGTGCTGCTTTTCAACAGGCCCGTGACGGGCGGGACCAAAACGCCAACGCGAGTGGGGACCAGTGGCAGACGGATGCGACGGCGGGACCGGCCCGCAAGATGCACCGCCCCACGAGATTGAAGGCCAAGTGGCAGCCGTAGGTGATGGACACAAGTCCTAGGTTTTCCTCGTCGGAGCCTCGAAAACTGCTGGCGCGAGAAGCTGACGTATTAGGGGGGGGGGGTGGAATGCCGCCGCCATACCCCCGCCTGCCGACGTGCCTGACAGACAGTGCTTTGGACGAGCCACGGCGGCCGAGTTGCGAGCAGCTTCCAAGATTTTCTCGGCGCACGCGGAACAGTCCCTGGATGGGGTGCACGTGCGCCAGTTCGATTGCATTTCTGATGTTGGCCTGGACACTCTCGCTCGCCTCTTTCAGCGCGTGGAAAAGTTGGGGCTCTTCCCCGAAGCCTTGCGCTGGATGTTGTTGCCTCTCCTGGAGAAACGCAAGGGAAGTTTGCGTCCGATCTCATTGTGCTCCTCTCCAGTAAGGCTCTGGGAGCGATTGGGAAGACCCCGTCTGGCGACGTTTATTGAACGCCACCCTCGACGTCGCTGGGCCTTCGGAGCGGGGAAGTGGGCGGAAGGTAGCGCGTGGGACCAGGCGTTTAAAGCGGAGGCCCGCGCGGCCGAGGGGGGGGTCGCCGCGGGGATCTTGGGGCGGGTCGCAGTAATATGAGAATTCGACCCCAGGACGCTTCGGGATGAGGGGCCGCCGGGCTGGACTGGAACCTGCCATCTTGAAAGTCACCTTCAATTTCTGGAGGGGCCCTAGGATCCTTCGACTTGGTGCGGGCCATGCGCTGGCGGCGTTGTGCGCCGAGAGCGGGCTGCCAGCAGGGTCAATTTTCATCGACGTGCCTATCGGTTTCGTGCAGCGGAACCCTAGCATCGATCTCGCGTCGCATGTTGACGACGACGCACCCTCCGCGCATGGCGCGGAGGCTGAGGTCATCCAGGCCCTTGAGAGAGCGGCGCAGGATTTGCACAGAGCTTTCACCCAGGAGCTTGGGGTGAATTTGTCCCACGATGAGCTGATTGCGTTCGGATCGACGCCCGCGGACGCTCGTCGCCATGGAAAACAGCTAGGACATTTGGCGGGGCAAGTCGGAAACCGCCAAGTTCCCCCCCGCTGTGATTTGGCTTCCGGCCGCGAGCGCATTGAGAAAGGCCGCCAAAAAAAGACGGGGTAGGCTCGAGGATGTGATCCGCAGGCGCCGCGTTCTCGGCAGGTATTGGAGGGCTCGCCTGATGGAAAAGTTCAGCATTGGAGAGATCTACACGGCGGGGGCCAATCCTGGTCTGAGCTTCGGTGACGCGATAGTCGGCATGAGTGACGCCGGATTAAAGCGAGCTCGAAGTGTGATGTTGTCCTTCCAGGCTCCCAGGCATGCCGGCGTGTCTTTGCGAGCCAAGACGGCGCTTCTAAGAGATGCCCTGTGGAGGAGCATGGTGGCCCCTGCTTTCGGCGCGGTCGCACGCGATGCGGGCCGCCACGACGCGGCCCGCGCATTCCTTTTGCTCGACGCAGGAGTGACGCAGCATGTGGGGGACCATCCGGCCCACAGGCCGCACGTGGGCTTAAAAAAAGGTCCGATCAGCAGAATGCACCTCTCCCTTCAGCGCATTGGGTGGGGGGCCTACACCCCGCTCGATTGGCGCGATGATAATGGCGCGGAGGTTTCCTTGCTCTACGCCACCCCCTCCATGGTCGGACAGTGGTTGAGCTTTGGCGTCCAACGGCATCATGAGAGGGCTTTTGGTCAACAGCTTGGTCGGGCCCCTGGCGCCCGCGCGCGCGTGGAACCCATTCGGATGATCGCGATGCCAGGGGTCGAAGGAATTGGCGTTAACGCCCAGGGCAAGCATCTAGTGATGGCGCGTTTTTGCGACGGCCTCTGGATGGCATGTAGCGCAACAAACAGGGTATATCACGCCAGGCTTCTGCCCGCTCTGCCGGGCGCCCGACTCGGTCGGGCACGCGTTCTACGGCCGCTAGCACGAAGAGGTCGCGGCTGCGCGGCAGGCGGCGGGCGCGCTCTCGAGCTTTCTCGAGAGCGCCCAGGGCGGGGCGCACAGTTTTTTCGATGCGTTCAAGTTTACGCATCCAGCGGCCGACTGGCCTATGCTGTCGGATGAGCATGAGCCTGAGTTGCGCGATATGAGTGGTCGAAAGACTCCTTGGGAGCAGTTCGATGGGTCCACATTGCGCTATGCAGGAGGTAGTGCATGCATGAGGCACAACATTCGAGATGTCGAGAGCAGCGCGTTCGCGGATCTTCGATTCGGAAGGGGTGCAGGGATGCATAGAGGGTTTGCCTGGCCGAGCCTGCCCCAAACTAGTCCAGCTGCTGAGCAATTGCAACTGGCATTGCTTCCGATATATGTTCTTGACCTTGGGCCCACTCTGTACAGCGATTGTGTATGAACGCGGTGAGGTTGCATAACATGGGGCCGTCAAGTCAGATGTCTGCTAAACAATGGCATGGTGATTTGAGCAGAGCGGCCCTGCTCCGCGCGCGGGGTTACGAGTGCGCCCCAGCCGTTCGCGCCCCTGCCCATAGGAGACTAAAAAGGCATAGAGAAGCTGCCCCCGCCCGAGAAGTGGATCGGGCAGGCCAGCTGGCGCGTGGATCGAGAGGCCAAGGGGGCTCTCGACCTGCATCCCCAGGCTTCGTCCGCCGAGTGGCAGCGGCATGATAGTTAGTTCGATCGGGGGCCTCGAAATGGTGGCGCGCCTCGCGGCGAACGCTTTGCAGCGCGTTCCGAGGGCGCACCGCCGGCGCCCGCCGAGGCGCGAGCGCCCGCGCAAGGTGATCGAGCAGGCCACCAGCCGGCACAACTGGGAGAGCTGGCTGCGGGGCAACAGGTGTGCCAAGTGTTTAAGTTCTACGGGGGGTGACCTCCGGACCCGACCAGAAGTAGGACGCCGGGGTCTCTCCCGAAGTTTGTCCAAGCTCCCGGCAGGGGCCCTCGACAGTGGACATGAGCAAGCGAGCGCGCAGGTTAGTGATGAGAAGTTGCCGTTCGTGTTCTGCATGCATGACTTGCGGGAGCTGCTCATAAGAGAAGGTGTGCAATCTGGCGTCGAAGTGTGACCCCGGAGAGCACGGCGGAGGGACCAATGCTCTGAGTAGGTTGACGCGTGGCCTCAACCCCCAACGCACTGTTGCCCTGTCCTGCGCCGCGCAAGAGAAGCCGGCTTCAGTCGCAACAGTTCGTCCCTTTGCCGAAGCTTCGAGGGTGCACCTTATCTTGTCGAGCGCGGCGCCTCTCGAATGCCCGGCTGCTATCCGTGCCCGCGCTGCCGAGCGCGAGTCGGGGGGGCGGGCGGGGGCGGGGGCGGGGGGCGTAGCGGAGTTCGCGTCTGCGGAGGGAGTGGCAGTCGCGAGGCCCGCGGGCCCTCCGAGTGCCGCGGGCCCCCCCCCCCCAGCGCTGGCTCAGATCGAGTCTTCCCGATTGGTGAGCTCGCGCCAGGGCGCTTCCACTCGCCGTTTCCCCGCCCGCCAGGGTGCATGCGATGGCTTTGCAGGCGCCGCTGAGGGGCTTCCGCAGTCTGGAGCAGCACCGGGGGCGCCCAACCCACCCGCACGGGTGCTGCGCTCGGCCTTGCCCTACGGGCTGACGCGTCCTGGAGCGCCGCCCGTGCTCGTGATGTTTATGTTGGCGCAGTTCATCCTGCGCCTCCTGGTGGAGTCGGTCGTGCTCCTGCGGTCCGTGAGGCGCCTCACGTTGAAGGCGAACGCTATGAAGGTGTTCGCCAGGCTGCTGCCGAATCTGCCGGTCCTCCGGGCCCCAGCGGGGGCAAGGGCACGCGGCCGCCCGATCCATGATTTTTTTTGCTGCGCCAATTCTGGGGCGCCCAGCGGTTGCGGACGCAGCCGTTGCCACACGCGGTGGTGCTCGATGACTTTGCCATGATCACGATGACCGTGTTGCTGTTCGGCGTGCGCGCTTCTCGGAATTCCCTTGACATGGTGGTCTTGTTCACCGCCATGGTGCAAGTATTCGCGTGCTGTTCGGTTTGCGCGGTTTTCGGTGGCGGCGGGCCCCGGGGACTCCCTCGGTCGAGTTCCTCCCAAGGGCGGAATTGCAAACGAACGCGAGGACACTCCAGAGTTGAATTATTAAGTGTCCAACACATGGGGATGGCTCCTTGCGACGCGCGCGGCCCTTCCCTCTCCTCGCCCCCGCGGTCCGCGGCAGGGCGCGCCCTCAGGCGCTTGACGGCTGTGTCCTCTGTGATTTGGCTTGATTTTTCTGGCATGTTGGTTGGTGGGGAGCCGTTTGCCGCTGGGCGGTGCAGGGTTTTTCCACCACCCTTCGCTGCTGGAATGCCCAGCCTTGCTTTCGAAGTGTTCAAGTCAATACAATGTAATACACTACCTTGCACTACTTTACAATATCAAACAATACAAAACAATATTATACGATACGACACAAAACCAGCTCCTCCTCCTCCCCCCTTTTCCTCCTCCTTCTCCGCCTCCTTTTCCTCCTCCTCCTCCTCCTCCTCCTCCTCCTCCTCTTCCTCCGCGCATCCCCGGCCAGTGGGCGGAGTGCCGCTACGTGGACAGGGGCCAGTCCCTCAGGGACAGCCGCCTCGAGCGGTGCAGGCGAGCCGTGCGCGGCCTGTCGGCGGCGATGCGGCTGCAGGAGCTCGGGCGGCCCTGCCTGGCCGGTCGGAGTCTCAGGGGCAGGGGGTCTCGACTCTCCGAGGGGCAGAGGGGGGACGGGTTTAAGGAGGGACGCATCGACCCCCGATCGCCCACTGATCGCCGGTAGTGGCTTCACGGCCCCAGCCCGCCCAGGTTCGGGGTCCGGGGTCTTCAGAAGTTCTCGATGCTTTCCAGCGGCTGCGCCTCGCCGAGGGCGCTCTGGGGGGTGCCCGGATCGCCCAGGACGGCTGCCGGAGAGCCGAGCCATTGCCCGACGGCGAGGGTCAAGGTTAGGGGGAGATAGGTTCAGCCCCCTCTCCTCCTCCTCCTCCTCCTCCTCCTCCTCCTCCTCCTCCTCCTCTCCTCCTCCTCCTCCTCCTCCTCCTCTCCTCCTCCTCCTCCTCCTCCTCCTCCCTCCTCCCTCCTCCTCCTCCTCCTCCTCCTCCTCCTCCTCCCCCTCCCCCTCCCCCTCCTCCTCTTCCTGCTCCTCCAGTCGCCCTCTCGTCAGCGATAGGGGCCAGATGGCCCAAGCGGCCCAGCTCTGCGGACTCGCAATCGGGCGATCTATCGCAGATGCATCGTCGCTTGCGGCTCGATGTTTTGCCTCCGGAGCTGGTCCCCCCCGTACAGTGGAGGCCCATGCCAAGAAACATCCTACTTGCCTCCAGGGCGCCCTGGGTTTCCTGGGTTTCGATGGTTTTGTTATTGAAAGCGTGACTCTCCCACGCCGAAAATCACTGGACGTCCTGGGGTCTCAGGGTTGGGTTTCTTGTGGAAGATCTGTTGTGGTCGGCCCCCCACTGCATCGCTGCCGCTCATTGGAGTCAATCTTTGGGACCTCGCGGCGTGGCACGCCCCCCCCCCCTTTTGAGGTGCAGGGCACCAGGGTGGCCTCTGTGCGCGGCTTCTGGAGGCGGCGGTGGGGGGCAGCACTAGCGAGTGTCGACGAACAACGATTCAGAGCACATGCTTCGAATAATCATGATAATACGAATATGAATTATCAGGAGTAATGGGAAGACCTGCCAGCCCACTGTGGTCTGGACTATAGTTTCTGACCTCTGCTAGTGAATTTACTTCGCTTCTCGACTAGGTGTGCGCTTTCGTCCCTCAGCTTTCCTCCATCATCTCAAAAAAAGCAATGGGAAGGCTACACATAATAATATTTACATAATACTACCAAGATTACATATAGTTGTTCTAAAGGTAAGAGCAACACCAATACTAGTATTACCCACATTATAATAATGTTCTTAGTTGTTGTAATAACGTTGACTATCGTAATAGTAGTAGTGCTAACCATTAAACGTAACGAGTACAACCTAATAGTACTAGTAAAAAAACTATAAACATAGAAACATTATAGTAAGCAGTGCTTCAACTTATCATCAATAATGCCAATACACAGACGGTGGACCATACCAACAAAAAGCATTACCGAGATAGGTCGCCAGACCCCCCCCAAAGTGGAAACTGAACATCCTTTCGATGCCCATATTGACGGACCGGGGTCCAACCAATAATGGAAAATAGGTATGCTTCCGCGGCGCACGCCCTGACATTATTATTAAGACTACGATTGCAATTTTCACTACAAGTGACTAGTACTACTGATGCCCCAGGAACGGAGCGGAGGACGAGCAGGAGGAGGAGGAATAAGAGCGGAATGTATCCCCGCCGAGAGAAACAGAGAGGGATTCTCCAATTTGGAGACCTCCTGAGGTTACTAAGTATATATGTGGGACCAAACAAGTATCATTGCGCAAACTATTAATAATACGAATAATAATAGTAATAATAGTTAGAATAAACAGAACAATAATGACATATATGTATATTTATATGGAAGAAAAACGCAAATGAACAGAAACACATCCGTTAACACAGCATTTCGGAGATTTGTGCGGACTTCTTGGGACGGCGCTGGTTTTCCCTGCCTAGCTCTCGGGATCGCGCCATGGGCAGCGCCAGAGGCCCCGCAAAGGGGTGCCAGCGCGGATCCTACATATTCGCGCTGGCACATTGCTTGCTCCAGGAGCCTGGCCAAGCAAGGCTACGGCGTGGGAAGATTGGTGCAGGACCTGGCCGCTTGCTCCGGCAGCGTGCCCCAGGGGGTCTTCGAGGAACTGGACTTCAAAAAAACATATGCGGAGGGCCTGCAGAGACTTTTCAGGGGTTTTCCCAGAGCCCCAAGAGGCAGCAAGGCGAAACACTTCGAGAGGTGAACTTCACCCTGCCGCCCGGCAGCGCAGCCATCCTCAGGCAGCTGCCTGGCTACGACAGCTTCGACGAGCGGACCGAGCGCCTGCACTGCATCAGGCCGGGTACGGGCTGCAAGGATACGCCCACAGCTTGTTCCATGAAGTTCGCTTGGGCCACGCGCTCACTGGAGTGCGACACCGAAACTACCAGGTGTGACCCAGAGCTCGAGGTCAAGCGCGTGACGTCCGGCAGCTGTGGTTTCGGCTTCTCGGAGTTTGTGCTGATGTTGTCCAAGCGCGTTGACGATTTGAGGAGAACTGGGCAGACGGAGCACGATGGCTGGCAGATCATCCACATCGAGAGCGTCTTCGGCAACATGGGGGGTGACCACGACGATTTCACCAACTGCAGAGTTCACCAGCACCGCAGTGCCGATGGCACCGTGACGCTCGAACAGGACGAGTCCCTCGACGCTCTCATACCAGACTAATACCGTTCGGACACGTCTACCTGGTCAAGGCCAAGGCCAGAGGTCAGCCTCTCGACTTCTTCGTCTCCCTTCTGGGAGCAGCGGCTTACGTCTTGCTCGCCCTGCACCGGATCGCAGCGTGCATTGTCGCCCTGTCGAGAGTCAATGGCAAGCTGCCAACGCCGACGCGCAATGCAGCTCAATTCATGCGTTCTGGCCTGCAGAAGGTTACGGCGCGCATCGCATTTCCATCGATGGAGTTTGCTAGGCGAGTCAGCGCGCGCAGCGACGGGTTCAAGAGGGATGAGGAGCCAGGATACGTGTTGGGGGAAGCCGTGATCGTGCGTCTCGGCAATCGCCGCCGCGCTGGCAAACAGGTGTGCCACCCGCTGGGCGTTGTGAGCCGATCGCGCAAGCTTACGTGCAGATCCTCATTCGGCTCTGAGGTGCTCGCAGCAACCGGCGCAGCAGACCGTCTGCAGGCGCAGTTCTTCACGTTGCACGAGACGATGCGCTGCCCCGCCTCTGCCCAGGAGATCAGGAGTATGAGGGAAGAAAGAGGTTGCGCGAGCCCTGCAGATCTTGTCATCGATGGCGCGTTCGTCTCCGGCGCCCTGCTCATGGACCCCGCCCGGCCGCCGTCCGAGGACAGCATGGCTGGCCACTTGCGGCGGTTAGCCGACCAGCCGCGCGCCAAGCATACTGAATCTTTGCAATGGCGGGAGGTTCGAGATATGCGGGCCAATCCCGCGACCCAGGGCAGCATGAGCCGAGAGCTAACCCTCGGCGCGATGGATGGCCAGGTCAGCTATGACCACGTCGAGGTCAAGTCCAGCGACGAGAAGCTGAAGAAGACCGCCCCAAGCTCGCAGCGCAGGTCACCCACGCAGACATCTGGAGATGACTCGTGTGGCTGTGCCACGGGATCCCACGGAGGTGGATGCATACATACATTCACTTTATATATGTATAGATGTATGTACATATGTATGTATGTATGTATGTATGTATGTATGTATGTAACCATGTACGTATGTATGTATGCATGTTTGTATGCATGTATGTATATACGTATATAGGCTTCGCCCCCTGCCGCCGGCCCCCTCTTTCGGATTATGGGATATGCTAAAGCTAAATCGTGAGGTATGGGGAAGTCAAAACGCGTGCTGGGGAATATGCTTGCCTTTATCAAACAAGAACTTGCGAAGGTAGGGCTTCAAATGAATTCTGGGAAGTGCAGCATACAATGCGTGGGAAGAGAAGCGTATTCTGGGGAGCATGTCAAATTGGCGGGCGATAGATATCCGTTATGCAGTTGCAATGAAGGCTTCGAAGTGCTTGGCACAATGGTCACACTGAACGGGAATACCAACGCGGAGTTTGAGCACAGACTAAGAGCAGGATGGGCCAAGTTCTCCAGCCTCAATGACATGTTGATGAAACGGGACGCCTCGCAGATCAAACGGCTTAAACTATTCGAAGCGACTGTTTCCAAGACTGTCTTGTGGTGCGCAGAGTCTTGGAAACTTACCGTGACGCAAAAAAGGCGTTTACGAAACACACGGAGAATAATGCTACGCCGGATGGTGGGCCCAAGGCGACGACCCGACGAAGAGTACACCAGTTGGATCAAGCGGTCCACCCATGCCGCAGAAAGCATGGCCAAGCAAGCCGGTTGTCAACGTTGGGAAGAGAGTTATCTCAAAGTAAAGTGGCGCTGGGCAGGAAAGATTGCAAACGTGGCTGTGGACCGGTGGGCCCGGAGGACCACCGAGTGGAGCGACAACGTCTGGTGGAGGGAACAATCCAGAGGAACGGCCGCCTGTCCGATCCGTTCGCGCCCGGGGCGGTTTTCAAGATGGGAGGATGATTTGGTTTTGTTCGCTCGTGAGAAGCACTGGGAGTCGTGGGTATCTGCTGCGCAAGGCGCAGAAATATGGTCTGATTACGAGAGCGAGTACGTGCAATTCTCATGGAGGTGACGAGGCGCACCATATTTTCCACATTCGTGATCCGCCAGCGCCCCTCTTGCCTCTCTCGCCTCCTCCTACTCCGCACAGGCACTGAATCGCCATGCGTATGTTGCAGCATGTTCCCGGTCCTCTCAGAGGGCCAGCGCGCTACAGGCGCGGCTGCCTCCCTTGCAGGGACGCCGGCCCTTCCCGGCGACGGCGGTTTCGTTCGTTCGTTCGTAAATCGTGAGGTCTGGTCGCCGCCGAAAAGCAGTGTCGGGACCTGTTTGTTTCTCGACCCTGACCCTACGGATCTCAGCCACAGGTGCCACCGGATTTCAGAAATGTGGCAACTCGTGTGTGTTTTTGGACCCTGGCCCTACGGATTTGCGCGAGGGGTGCCGCCAGATTTCAGACATGTGGCGCATCCCCTGTGTTTTTTGACCCTGACCCTGCCGATCCGCGTGAGAGGTGCCGCCGAATGTCAGACATGTGGCAGATCCCTTTTGTTTTTGGACCCTGACCGCGCCGATCTGCGTGAGGGGTGTCACCGAGTTTGTGACATGTTGCAAATCCCGTGTGTTTGTGGACCCTGACCGCGCCGATCTGCATCATGGGTGCCACCGAATTGGAGAAACGTGGCAAATCCCATGTGTTGTTGGATCCTGACCCCGCCGATCTGCAAAAGAGGTGCTGACGCATTTCATGGATGTTGCGAAACCTTTTTAGGTTTTGCACCCGGACCCCGCCGATGTGCGTGAGGGGTGCCACCGGATGTCCGACATGTGGCAAATCCCATGTGTTTTTGGACCTTGACCCCACAGATCTGCATGAGGGGCGCCAGCAATTTTCAAACATATGGCATATCCCCTGTCGTTGTTTTGCCTCTTTCCCTGCCGATTTGCGTGAGGGGTGCCACCGAATGTCCGACATGTGGCAAATCCTTTTTTTTTGTTGGACCCTGACCCCACAGATCTGCATGAGGGGTGCCATCAGTTTTCAGAACTATGGCAATTCCCTTGTGTTTGTTGCCTTTTCCCCTGCCGATCTGCGTGAGGGGTGCCACCGAATTTCAGAAACGTGGCAAATCCTATGTGTTTTTGGACCCTGACGCCGCCGATCTGGTGAGGGGTGTAAATTTTTACTCCTTCAGAAATTCCGATAAGCTTCCCAGGGCGTGGTAAGAATGCCCGTTTTGGGCCTCCCCCCTCTCGCGGTCCATCAACAAGGAACAGCAAGCAGCAGAACATCAACGAGGAACTGTAAGCAGCTAGAAGCAAAACTGCAACAGTGGAAACTGGAAGGTGCAACTTGCACAGGGAATTTCGAATCTTAGCCCTAGCCCCACAAGGTGGCCGGCGGATATATATATATATATATATATATATATATATATATATATATGTGTATATACATGTATATTATATACACACATATATATATATATATATATATATATATATATAAATAAGACTGCAGTGGCGCTTCGCGCCATGCACCTTGGTGTTTGAAGTTTGGAATGCAGGCGGAATGGCAGGAAGGTGAAACCGACAATTTAGCGATAACTCCTGGTTGCCTTGTCCGGCACCGCCGCTATAATGATGTTATTCGTTATATTTCCTCCATGTTTATGGTTCCTTATTTTCGCCATACCCTGCGCATTCTCCCCATCCTCCTCAACTCTTTTTTGCGGAGGCTCCTCCTTGGAGAGCCTCCAGGGGCCTCAAAAAAAGTTGTTTCGGGCTTTCTTGAGGCCTTCTGGAGGCCTCCTGGGCGTATTCTGGGGGCCTCAGGGGGTTCCTCGGGCCACCGTGCCTCCAACCGCCGTCTCCCTGAACGACCGAATCACGTTTTGGAATTCTTTGGAGGGTGTCTTCGGGCCATCTTGGGCTGCCATGGGGCTCTCTGAGGGCCATCTTGGACCCGTGTTGTGCCGTTGTGGGGCTCTCTTGGACTGCTTGGAAGCCCTTTCGGATGGTTGTGGGGCGATTTGGGAGCCCCCCAGGCGGCTTCGGACGCCCGGAAAACCGCCGTCTTGGAGCGTCGGGAAGCCGAAAAGAGGAGAACCCCCAAATTCGCCAAAAACCAACAGAAAATCAATGATTTTTGCCTCGGGGGGCCTTCTTGGGAGTGCTCTTGGAGGCCTCTTTGGGGCCGTCCTGGAGGCCTCTTGGGCCATCTTGGGGTCACGTCGGTCATTCCTGGAGCGCTCTTGTGCGTCTTGGGGCTCTCTGGGACGTCTCCGATGACCCCCCTGATCGCCCTAAGTGTGCTGGGAAGGCTTGGCAAAACGCCTTGCGAGGCCCAGTGGCCGCTTCGAGGTCCGTCCCGAGGGCCCCAAAGCCCCAGGTCCTGGGAGTCCGGTTTTGGGGGGGGGTGATGGGTTTTCCCCCCGCCCGGGCTTATAAAAATATAGGAAGAGGAATATATATATATATATATATATATATATATATATATATATATCCTCAAGAGCAAGTAGCCCACCGAGGGTCGGATGCGCGCTCCGCCGCCCGCGGACATCAACGGGCGAGATCGACGAGCTGAGCGCTCATGTGAGCGAGTTTGCGCAGGCTGCGTCAAGGCAGTTCTCGGATATTTAGCAGGCGTTCCTTCCATAGTATCGTTTTGTGCTGGGTGGGGAAATCAGTTAGCTTGCTCTGGCTAGTCTGAAGGATTCCACCGGGAGCAGTTTCCTACCCTGCCGCGGGCGCTGTAAACTGTATGCTTGCAGTTGGCGGTGCGGGGATCCAGTGCGCCCTTGGGCTGGAACGTAGTCTGGTGACCTTGAGACCTGCCGAAGCCAGGTCAACGCGTTCCTCCGTGAGGCAGTTTTTTATGAAGGAACGGTTAGTAAAGCCCCTCTGTTGTGGTGTCGTCCTTTTGAAGGCGCGGCGGATTCTCTTGAGCACCGGACTCGAACGGTCTGTCCTTTTTTCCTGCTGCCGCGCCTGTTTCTCACCCAGCCTGTCCGCTGCCTTTTTGGACCGGGGGCGCGGGGGCTTCAGTGCTCCAGTTCCCGCCTTTTTTTGCACCTCGTATATGCCGTCTTCATTCATCCGCTTACGGAAAACATCGGTTCCCTTCTGACATCCCCATGCGTAACCTCATCAAGCCATGCAGAACCCCCCCTCTCCGGCGAAAGTATAACGCACCCGGCACCCAAGAAGCGTTACCTTGGCACCTCGCACCTTTATGTGAACGCAGACGAGTCTGCTCGCCGAAACAAGCGAACCGCCTGAGACATTCTCGCAATATGGTCTCCTTGTGGTTTCGAAACAAGCGCCTCGCCTGAGACATCCTCTGAAACTGCTCCTTGGACGCAGACGAGTCTGCGTCAGTTGGTCGGTCTGGGCGAGAAATGGAGTGGCCGCACGTCTTCCCAGCGCTCGGCCTTCCGAGCAGTGGTCCTTTTCCTCTTCCTCTTCGTCCTTCTCAGGGGTCCTCCTCCTCCTCCTCCTCCTCCTCCTATTCCTCCTCATGAGGGGTCCTCCTCCTCCTGTTCCTCCTCCTCCTCCTCCTCCTCCTCCCATTTCTCCCCCCCGTTTCCACTTTGGCTCTTGTTCGCCATTACGGATGAAGCCGAAGGCCAAGGCGTCAGTCAGGAGGCCTTGGCCCAGCTAGACAGAACAAATCATATTCCTGCTCTTCCTCCTCAAGACTCCCTTACGGCACGGCACCAACACGAACAACGACAACCATACCAGCAATACGAGTTTTAGCTAGAACAACAATGCCAAGGCAAGCAACACCACCAACAACATCATCAACATCAAAGACACCAACAACACCACCACCACCAACAAAAACAGCATTAAGTCCCACGTAAGGGGGAGCCCAGCTTTGAAAAGGAACCGCCCGCGCCTAAGATGGGGGCGCGAATAATTTTTCCGGTGCGGGTGCTAAGATAACGCGCCGTGCGTGGCGGGGGCGATATCCTCGGATGCATAGTGCCCCGCACGACGGCTGGGAACGTAAATATGTTGTGCGGGTGCGGTGCTAAGATATCCCGCCTTGCGTGGCGGGGGCGATACCCTAGGATGCACTCTCCCACACGACGGCCAGGAGTCATCAATTTTCAATATGGGTGGTAATGCAAATCGCATCGGGCAAGGATGATGACAACACCGAGGAACAATGCTTACCATTATTCGCATGTGCGTTCTTACGCGTATTATTCTCATCATAATTATGCTTATTATTCTGATTTGTACGTTCGTATCATTATTATGATTCGGATTCTGATTCGGATTATGATTCTTAACATGATTGCCTCTTTTTACACGTACGATTACTCGTGTTCTTATGGTTAGCATTCCAACTTTCATTATGTTATTAATTCTGTTTCGAATTCTTAATGGTAGTCCTCTTATTCCCGTTCTGTTGGATTGCATGTATTTCGTTAGTGTGCGGGTTCTGATTGGTATTGTTATTACTGTTACTCTCATTCTTATTATTATTATTACTACTACTACTACTACTACTATTATTACTCTCATCCTGAATCGTAGTATCAATATTGCTCTTATTACTCGAATGTCATTATCATTCTTATCCCAATTCCAATTGGGGTGCCACACGAGCCGGGGCGCGGGAATGAATTATTTTCGTTCCATTTGCACGGTGCTAATTCTATCGTTCGGCGAAAACCGCCCCCCAGAATTATTCAATTACGGCGCTGTGCTGATTTAGTGATAACCCTGGGGGGTCCTTAATGGCTTGATGAGGTTAGTTTCCCTTCTTCCCCTCCTGTTCATTATCATCAACGCCTTGCTGTCTTGCTCCTGCTCCTCCTGCCGTTGCTGCTCCCTTCCCCCCCCATTCCCTTCACCTCGCCTCCCTTCCGCCCCTCCCCATCCGTCCCCGAGCGCCTCTCGCCTCCCCTCCCCCCTCGCTCCTTCGCGTTACCTCCTCGCTCCTTCCCCGCTCACTCCCGCTCTATCCCTTCTATCCCTTCACTCCCGCTTCTCGTTTTTTTTCGTTTCGCGAACAGGCCATTTCCGTTTCCATTTCTTTCCCGTTGTGTTTTTCGCTTCGCGAATTCACCGTTTCCGTTTCCATTGCCCTGCCGCTCCCACCTCGTGCTCCCCGCGGCGTGCGGTCGTCCCGCGGAGGAATCGGTCCAGGAACCCACGGTGTCGTTGTTGGCGCGGTACACGCAGCGCGTCGGCAGGGTCCCGGTCAAGGACGGGGGAACAACGATCGTGCAGACGATGACGATGACGATGATGACGATTATGGCGATTATGACTATGACGATGACTTTGATGATGACGGCGATGACGCTGACGACGGTAACTATGATGATAATGATGAGGAAAGTGCGCCAGTGGATCTCCTTGAATACACTAAAAGGGGGGGGGGTCCAAAACCCCCCCCCTCCTTCCCCCTCCCCCCCTTAAGGGGGGGGGGATCCCGACCCCCCCCCCCTCCTTTGAAGAGGGGGGGGGTCCGGACCCCCGCCTCCCTCCCCGCCTCCTTGGCGTTGGAAAGGGGGGAGGCGGGTCGGATACCCCCCGTGTAGGGAGTACGGAGTTGGGAGTAGGGAGTGGTGAGTAGTGAGTAGTGAGTTAGTGCGCAATGAGTAGTGAATATCGGGTAGTGAGTAGTGGGTAGTGAGTGGCGAGTAGGGAGTAGGGAGTAGGGAGTAGTGAATAGTGAATAGTGAGTAGTGTGTACTGATAAGTGAGTACTGAGTGGCGAGTAGTGAGTAGTGAGTAGCGAGTAGCGAGTACTGGGTACTGAGTAGGGAGTAGGGAGTAATGAGTAGTGGGTAGTGAGTAGTGGGTAGTGCGTAGTGCGTAGTGAGTAGTGAGTAGTCAGTAGTGAGTATTGAGTAGTGGGTAGTGCGTAGTGCGTAGTGAGTAGTGAGTAGCGAGTAGTGAGTAGTGAGTAGTGAGTAGTGGGTAGTGAGTATTGAGTAGTACGTAGTGCGTAGTGAGTAGTGAGTAGTGAGTAGTGAGTATTGAGTAGTACGTAGTGCGTAGTGAGTAGTGAGTAGTGATGAATAGAGAGTTGTCGGTAGTGGCAGTGGGTAGTGAGTAGTGCGTAGCGAGCACGGAGCAGTGAGTAGTGAGTAGTGAGGAGAGAGTAGGGCGTAGTGAGTAGTGAGTAGTCAGTAGTGATGAATAGAGAGTTGTGGGTAGTGGCAGTGGGTAGTGAGTAGTGAGTAGTGAGTAGTGAGTATTGAGTAGTACGTAGTGCGTAGTGAGTAGTGAGTAGTGAGTAGTGAGTATTGAGTAGTACGTAGTGCGTAGTGAGTAGTGAGTAGTGATGAATAGAGAGTTGTCGGTAGTGGCAGTGGGTAGTGAGTAGTGAGTTGCGAGTACGGAGCAGCGAGTGGTGAGTAGTGAGGAGCGAGTAGGGCGTAGTGAGTAGTGAGTAGTGAGTAGTCAGTAGTGAGTAGTCAGTAGTGATTAGTACGTAGTGCGTAGTGAGTAGCGAGTCGTGATGAAAAGAGAGTTGTTGGTAGTGGCAGTGGGTAGTGAGTAGTGAGTAGCGATTTCGGAGCAGCGAGTAGCGAGTAGTGAGGAGCGAGTAGGGCGTCGTGAGTAGTGAGTAGTCATTAGTGAGTAGTGGGTAGTGATTTAACGAGTAGGGAGTAGCGAGTAGTGAGTAGGGAGTAGGGATTAGGGAGTAGGGAGTAGTGAGCAGTGAGTAGTAAGAAGTGTGTAGCGAATAGCTGGTAGTGAGTAGCGATTGGTGAGACGTAGGTAGTGGGTAGTGAGTAGTGACTAGTGAGTTGTGACTAGTGACTAGAGACTACGCAGTGACTAGTGAGTAGGGAGTAGTAAGTAGTGAGTAGTGAATAGTGAGTAGCGGGGAGTGAGTAGTGAGTATTGAGTAGCGAGTATGGGAGTAGCGAGTCGTGAGTACTGAGTACTGTGCAGTCAGTATTGTGCAGGGAGTAGTGAGTAGCGAGTAGCGAGTAGTGGGTAGTGATCAGTGATATGTGGGCAAGGAGTAGTTAGTAGTGAGTAGTGAGTAGTGGATAGTGGGTAGTGGGTAGTGAGTAGTCATTAGTGAGTAGTGAGTAGGGAGTAGTGAGTGAGTAGTGCTTAGTGCGTAGTCAGGACTGAGTAGTGGGTAGTGAGGAGTGAGTAGTGCATAGTGAGTAGAGAGGAGGGAGTAGTGAGTAGGGAATAGTGAGTAGCGAGTAGTGGGTGGTGGGTACTGAGTAGTGGATAGTGAGTAGTGAATCGTGAGTGGTGAGTAGGGGGTAATGAGAAGTGAGTAGCAAATAGCGAGTAGTCAGTAGTGTGTAGTGAGTAATGAGTAGTACTCTTTGGGGCTGGGTATAGTGGTTGGGGTTAGGATTAGGGGTTTGGGTTAGGGTGAGGACTAGGGGTAGGGGTGGCGGGGGTCGGGTTCCAGAGCTAGGGGGCGGCGTGGCGAAAGGGGGGGGAGGGGGGGGCTTCCTTTTGAAAGGGGGGGAGGAATGGGGGGGGTCCCCGACGACGGGTCGGGGAAAGGGGGGGAGGGGGGGGGGGGTCCCGACGACGGATCGGGAAGAAGGGGAGGGGGGGGGTTCCCCGACGACGGATCGGGGAAGGGGGGGGGGGTCCTAACCCCCCCCCCGTTGTGGAGATCCAGCGGCGCACCCTCAATGATGATGATGATGATGGCGATGATGGCGATGATGTTGATTATGCTGATGCTGTTGGTGAGGTTTATGGTGATGATGATGATGCTCGTGGTGAGTATGCTCATGTTGATGATGATGATTGCGACGGCGATGTTGAGTATGGTGATGTTGCTGCTGATGATGTTTCTTCTGAGGCTGGTGGCGATGATGCTGCTGATGACGGTGATGCTGCTGATGACGATGAGTATAATGATGATAGTGGTGGTGGTGGTGATGGTGATGATGGTGGTGATGATGATGATGATGGTACTGATTATGGTGATGGCGATAGCGATGACAGTGGTGATGATAATGATGATGACGATGATGGCGATGACGGTGACGCTGATGCGGATGCTGTTGGTGATGCCGATGACGCTGTTGCCCTCTCGGGCTGCCTCGGGCGCTTGGCACTTTCAATGCTTAGCCCTCCATCATTTGTGCGTGAAGCGCGCTCGCGGGCATGACTCTTGCTTTAACCGGATTCCCCTAGACAAAAAAAGGGAGCCGTCGGAGAACAGGGGCCGACGCAGTGCGCTCGTGTTTGAGGGCGCAGGGCAACGGCCGTCGTCGTCCTGTCATGAGCGTCGATTCTGGACAGCGGCTGCTTGTCGGTTTCTCGCGCGTCTTTTGTTGAAGAGAAGCACCAGGGCTTGACCTAAACGCTGTTGCGCTGGACTTCGGCTGTGTTATGTTCTCCGCTTTGGGAGGGGAGTACAGGAAAACAGCTAGAGCAAGACGAACATCAAAACGAAACCAACACTAAAAACAGCGTCTGGGTCCAGTTTGTTGAAGCACACACATCTTCATATATACATATACGTGTAATACAGTGGAAACCTGTGCCGAGAAACACCTTGCTTGCCTCCAGGGTGCCCTGGGTTTCTTGGGTTTGGATGGTCTTGCCATGGAAACCGTGACGTTCCCACACCAGACATCAATAGACGTGTTGGGATCTCAGGGTTGTGTTTCTTGTGGGCGGTTTATTATGGCCGCGCTCCTATTGTAATGTTGAGGGTGATGTGCATGGATCCCCCCGATGCGGCAACGATATGAACGCTTTCGCAGCCCAGTACCGCAACGCCACGTTCTGGCTTGACGTAGTTACGACCAGCCAACTGTTCCAAGCAACAATGACAGGCGGACAGCCGCCGCTTGACCTCAACAAGATTGCGGCAATACAAGAAGTTGAACAATGGCTAAACACAGAACATGGCGACGACAACAAGATGAAATACGACTGTGCAGCCAGCGCGCGCGACGTCGCGGCGCCACTGCAACACATTTGCAATCCGACGATCGCCCCCAGCATCGCCGGGCCCACTCCACCGACCGACATAGACAGCACATGCGAAGAATACACACCGACAACAATGCACGCGACTGACGACCGACCAGTGTTGTCAACGGCCTTGCCCCCAGATTAGAGTACCCCACTGCCCAAATACCGAGGGCCCACCTTACCTCCGCGAAAAACTGCGACACGCGCTCCAACCGACGTGGCCGAGACCGCCCGCGCACCAGCAGAGACGTCCGCAATCCAGACGACCAAGCCTACACCACTTGCCAAGGCAGCACCACCACTACCTACCACGCACTTTACAAGACCACGAGCAGCTCCCCAATCCTCACCACCAAGCATCACGAACAACCCTGCGCCCGCACTCCAGACCACAAGACCCGCGGCGCCGCTGTCGTCGCCGACTAACGCGCGGCCAGCCAAGAAACCACCGCCACCTCCCACTCTTGCGGCCCAAAAACCACCCCCACCACCGAATGCCATTCACATCGTCGCTGGCACCTCGACAGCAAGCGTGCACATTGCACCGCGCGCGAAGGCCATCGCAAAGTGGTCAAATTACAACAAGAATAGCTATACCAGCGCACCCGCCACCACCGGTACTCCAGATGCCAACCATTCGCCCGCATCACGAGGAGATGACGGCGCAGAGTCGGCTACGGGAAGTGCCTCAGCACTCTCCGGCGCCCCGAACCTACGCCGCATTGCAGGCCCACTTCCCAACCCGCGCAAGCCGCGCCCCTGCCTCGCTCAACATCTGAGCGAGGCTTGACGAGCAGCGCGACATCATCTACAACCGCAGTGTCAGTTTCGCGCGCAACAGGGGCGACCCAGGCTTCCACGCCTACATCGACGCGCTCCGCTCGCGCCAGACACGCCGCGAGCAGCATCTCCCCGGTGTCCGCGACAACTACCTCCCAGAAGTTCCTTGCAAGGAGCCACCGCGCAAGCCGACGCCGCGTCTGTGCAGGGCACCGCCCAGGCCCAAGCCGCAGAGCGACGACTACGACGACAACGGGGCAGCCTAACCGACGGGGGGCATGCCGCGAGCGCACAGGAAACACGCAGCAGCGTGCCGCGACGACGACCACAAGTACCACCTGCACGCCGACTACCCCAGAGCATCGACTACTGATTCCCCCCCCCCGCACGCTCGGCGGGCAACGTGCCGTTGGGCCACGGCCGCTTTGGCGCAGCAGCAGGGGGTTCTACACTTCCACTACGGGTGACCGACCAACGGCCCCACCGTGTCCACCTCCGCTTGCTTTTTCCCCGCGCGCCTGCAGCAATGTCATGCCGTCAGCAGGGGCCTCACCGCCTCCACTCCCCGCCTCCAGCTGGGCTACGAGCGCACATATGCCTTTTCTATCCCCTTGCCTCCTGTCTTTATGGTTTGGTGTGCACCACAAAACCCTGGGCAGCGCCCCGAGCAATGCTACACCTTGCTTGTGACGTCACCATTATATCTTGCCTACTGCTGGCCTTCCTCTACGGCAGGGATGGAGCAAGGCAGACAGCCCATCGTGCCAAGTTTGGCATAGGTGAGCCTCGGGGCCAGCCTAAACCATGCAGGGGGTACAAAGGATTGGTGCGAAACCCAAGAAGAATTTACGAAACGCTCGAGGGCCCTGGGACTAAGGAGGTTAGGGGTCAACCCAAAATGCCCTGGGCATCAACGCAAGAACAACTACATTCTGTCAATGTGACTAGACCTGTTGTTGCCAGCTGCGTCCACGCAAGCAAAGTTGCACTGCGCCTTTTTAACAGACCAGCCCGCCTAGGCCAGCCTCTCCATGCTCAGCTCTTTATACTCCTCCCTCGTCCTACCCCATGCATGCGGCCTCATGCATCCTTCCTCCCTCTGGTTTGGAGTACACCAATAAACCCTTGGCAGCATCCCTAGAACTGCTGCGCTTATATTGACGTCGCCTATGTATGTACTGCTTGCTGCTAGCCGTACTATACATAAGCCCGCCAATATGTTCACTCTTGCTGCTCGCGCGCATGCAGGCACGACCATATGACGGAGGGGGGTACCTGAGGCTTGGGGAGGACTTCGCACCGGCCACAGCACCCTGGCGTCGCGACGCCACGTTTTTTATTCCACGCCGCGCCGGAGCCCAGCAAACCAGGTTAAGCACTTAACACTTTGTACTCGAGCGGATCGCGTACTTGCAGGCGTGACTATACGACGGAGGGTGGCTCCTGTGGAGGAGGGGGATCATCATCATCATTATCGGAGGAGGAGGAGGAGGAGGGGAGGAGGACGAGGAAAAAGAGGATAACGCAGGCAAACTTGCACGACACCTTCCCAACAGGCCAGCCCACCCAGGTTAGCCTTCACCATGTACAGCTCTTTATATTCCCTAGTCGCCTTACCTCATGCATTCGGCCTCGCGCCTCCCTCCTTTCTGTGGTCTGGGTTGCACCAGAACAAACAACCCTGGGCAACATCCCTAGAACTGCTACGCCTAACGTGATGTCGCCATTATATCGTGTTAGTTGTTGGTTACATTATACATAAGCACGTTCTTATGTATATCCTTGTTGTCCGTGTACTTGTAGGTATGACCATATGACGAAAGGGGGGGTACCAGAGGCGGAGTTCGGGTGGAGGAGGTTTGACAGCTGAATTCCGCAGGCGAGTCAGCATTACATTCTTTCAAAAGGTCAGACTACCCAAGCCAGCCTGAACACGCTCAGCTTTTTCCGTATGCCACACCGCTGAGGCAATCAGTATTTTTTGGCCATCATGAACCAGCACAGAAGCATCACACTTTGATTCGTAATCGGCCTCATCTCATAAAAAAGGGTAGCAGCTCAAGAATTACTTCGCTGCGCTGCCTGATTGTGTTTGCCTGCACGCAACTAAGGCAGCACGTATTACAGACTCCTAGGGTCTTACCATTTCTGAGGTTACATATATATATATACATATATATATATATGTATATATATATATATATATATATATATATATAAAAATGTAATTTATGGGGGGTATCACATTTAGGTACGTGTTGTCGTACCCGGCGGGCGCCTACTCTCACTACCAGTAGTGTCGCAGCCTTTTTTGTCCGCGGCGCCCGCCCGGTACCTTATGCGTCGAACCGTGTTTGTACATTCAAGAATGCCGCAATCGTAGGATTCAGGTCAGGCCAACGCAAAAGCATGAGGAGAAGGAGGAGGAGGAAGAGGAAGAAGAAAACGAGGGAGCGAAGGGGAAGGGAAGGATGGATACAGGGATGGCGGGAGGAAGGTGCTGCGCATGTCGAGCAGGTAGGAGCGAACAGTCGTAACGTGATTGTTGCTTTTGTTTTTGTCGTCGTTGTCGCCGTGTGCTTTTCTCTGACCGCCCTTGTGGGACGTGGGCGGACATGATGCTTCGCCTTTTCGTACCGTGCCGCGCGACGAGCAGAACAATGTGTTTCCGCACCCTGAGTTTCCACATGGCGAGTATAGCAAACTGGCATTCGTTGTCCCCCCCCGTCTCGAGCCGAACAACACGCGATTTGTTTTGCCTCTCTGTGTTGCCACCTGACCAAACTAAGCGCGATGGCGGGCGGGCAGACTGGCCGGTGGACGGGCGAGCGGGCGAGCAGGCGTGCTTGCGTTTGCTGTGCGTTGACGGGTTGGTAGGCGCAGTTGCTGCCATGGCGTTGTTTCACGGAGTGAGTTTGTTGGTTTGGTTTACATTACCGTGTTCACGTGCTCTCCGCGAAATGCGCGGATTCGTGCGAGACCCGTTGCCGATATCAATGGCTCCCGCCCTAAGATTGAACATTTGGGTTGGCCGAGACTGGTTTCGCCAAGGGTGGGTTTTTAGAATTTTGGGCAGACGCTTCGTATTGAGATGTCTCGTTGGGGTTCTCTGAGCAAGCTCGGGGCGAACGCTGTTCTTTGACTTTTGCAAAGCTCCGTTGCATATCGGGACAGGTGGGGCTTCAAGCAGTACGTGGGGTGGAATCAGCGATTTTGTTCACGCGGCCGGTTATCCCTTCAGGTCGTGGGGTTTCCGGCGGCAGCGATTGGATTTGGTCTTCGTCCAGGTCTTCCAGCCTCTTGATGCGTCCAGAGGTTTCCCCCGGCAGCGTCCAGAAATTTCCTGTTTGCCAGGGGGAGGAGTCTTCGTTCGCCTGCGGACACTTTCGCGATTGTGTAATTATCGTAAGTGAGAGGTTTCAAGGAGGAGGGGGCTTGAAACGAAACTGTTCACAAGGCCCGTTGTCCTTGATGGGCGGCGGGTTGTCGGCGACGGTGACGAGATCAGGGCTCCATCGAAGGTTTCCAGTCTGTCGATGTGTCGGGGGGCTTCCCCCAGGTGTGGTCCACCTAAACGCCCAGAAATTTCCTCGCTCGACCGAAGAAAGCCTTCCTTCGTCAGACAAACTGCCCTCACAGTTTGTGAGTGTGTGCGTGCGTGCGAGGCGCGGTTGCGGGCGTGAGTGGATGGAAGCAGGCTGCCTTAAAGAAGGAACCCGTCGGATGCCACCGGCGGCCGCATTCGGGTAGCGACCCGCCTCAGTTTGTCCTGAATGTCGCTTTAGGAGTGCGGCCTCGTGGCCGTTTCGCGTGCAACTGTGAATAAACATGAGGTTGGTGTTGTGCGTAGATCCTCCAGCGGGTACTATCGAAGGGTGTCGGTTTTCTCGGCGGATCAGGACTCCATCGAAGGTTCCGAGCCGCCCGCTGCGTCGGGAGGTTTCTTCATGGAATTTCGCGCCCGAGCGCCCGACCGCGGTTTCCCTGAACGACGGGTCACGATTTGGAATGCTTCGGGGGGCGTCCTGGGGCCCCATCTTGGGCCGTCATGGGGCTTTCTTCGGGCCATCTTGGAACACTATTGTCCCGTCTTGAGGGTCCTTTACGGACAGTTTAGGGGCCGTTTCGGGGCCCCTCTGGCGGCCTCGATCTTGGACGGCCGAAGAACAATACCATTTCCCAACTCATACAGCACATTTGAAAATGAATGTTTTTCTGTGTTTCGGAAGCCTCTTGGGTGTCTTCTTTGGGTCGTCATCGGGCGTCTGCTGGACGTCTCGGGCCTGTTGGGGCCCTCGGGGGGCCGTCCGGCCGCCCTCCTGGCAGATTAGGGCCCGCTGCCCAGGCCCATAGCAGAAGCGCCCAGGAGCTCTGGGAAACCTGGGGGCTTCCTGCAGGGGCGTCCAGGAGGCTCCTGGGCCCACGGACCCGGGGGGGGGGGGGTAGTTGTCCCAGACCCCGCGTGTAAAAATGCTGATTCTCTCCAACCGTGTGCAGTTGTGAGTACCGCAGGGCAGGCGGGGCGATCGAGGGGGAATTCTCTCTGGGGCTGCGAACCGCGTGAGGCGGGCGATCCGCGCGAGGGGTGAGCCAAAGTGGGGCGGGCACCGCATTCCGCAGCCACTGTGGTTCAAGATCAAGTTCAGGTCGTCCGCGCCCCTTCACCGTCGGGTGGCTCAACCGCGTGGCAGATCGGCCTTCCCGGATGCCCCGGAGTGGCTCGAAGCCGCAGCCTGCAGAGATGGTGGACGCAGAGCCGTGCGACCCGCACCAGAAGCCGAGCGACACCGACTCGAGGAATTGGCCAGACACCGACAGCGAGTACGGCGACTACACCGCTGTATGCGCCTTCCGCCGCAGGACGACCCAGACGTGCGACGTCCTGATTCTGTCAGGACGGCGTCCCTGGAAGTCCCGACCCTTTCCCCGGGACAGGTTTTTCGTCCTGAGTCGTCCTGTTGACGGTCCCAGGGCCCGGCGAGGGCCCCCCGGGGGCCGACAATGGCCAAAAGCTTCCCGTCCTGATTTTTTTACGACGCGGTCATGTCTGGGGACCGAAGGTGCGGCCTCGCCCGGGCAGCCCTCGCCCCCCCCGCCGAGCGGGCCCGCAGCCTCGGGCGGCGCAGCCCGCGGGTCTGGCGGCCCCGGTGCGCCGCGGGGCTTGGCCCGCGCGGTGCGGCCAGGGGGCGGGTCCGCGGAAGCGCTGGGGAGCACGAGCCGTGGTCGCAAGGTCAGTATCGTTTATCCGATCCCCATCCCCATCCCCATCCCCATCCAGTCCCCCACCATCTCATCCCCCCAGTGGGGGATATACCCTTCGAGATCTGACAGAAACTGCCTGTATCTCCATCCAGGGGGGTGAACTAGCCAGTGGGGCCCAGGCCACGTGAGTGGGGGTAGGGATCGGTTGAAAGGCACGGGTGAGGCATGCCAACATGATCAAGATGAGCTCTAGCACGAAGAACAAAAGGCGCCATAAACATTATTTTTTGGCGCTCTGCGCTGGGTTATCGGATCCGCGCTGGCCCCCCACCCCCACCCCCGGCGGCGCCGCGCCAGGGAGGGGGGCCTTGCGCGGATCTCAGGAACCCGCGCGGACCTCCAACTTTTGTATGTTTATGCAGTTTTTTCTTCTTCCACTAGCACGAAAGACCCTCAGAGCATCACCACATGCATGGTGTGCAACATACCGGCTGAGTGCAGCGTGGGCGAGCTGGTGCAGGAGCTTGACAGGTATGGCTTCAAGGGCAAGTTCGACTTTTGCTATATGCCATGCGACTTCGTCTCTGGCAAGAGCAAGGGGTACGCCTTCGTGAATTTCGAGTCGTGCACCGCCGCGTCGTGCTTCCAGAGCACTTGGCATGGGAGCCAGCGCTTTCCGAGCCGTCCCTGCAGCCGCACCCTGAAGGTGACGCCGGCGCACATCCAGGGCAGGGCGGCCAACATGGCCATGGTGTCGCAGACCATGGGGTCGATCCGCAACCCAAGCTTCCGCCGGCACGTGTTCAGCAAGCAGGACTCGGGAGCCTTGAGACGGGGGTCAATGCAAACGGGGGTCAGCCAGAGCGCCAGATCCTGCAGGATCCTGCGAAGACCCCCTCTGGCTGACCCGGGTTAGCGAGCCGCTCGTGGCCGCGAGGCGGCCGCGCACATTGGCTGACCCGGGTTTGCGAAGATTTGCGTTGCAGTTTTTTTTGTCCTGCATTGCAGTTTTTGGTTTCCTGCTGACCTGGGTCTGGATTGACCCGGGTCAGAAGATCCCCTAAGGACACCGAGCGCCCCAGCACGGGCGAGGCCGCGCTGGCCGACCTGCCAACCACCGGGCCCCCGGCAGCACGCCCGCAGCCCTGCGCCCGCCCAGCGGGAGCCGGCTCGCAGGCGACGCCGCCGAGCCGGCCGCCGGGCCTGTTCCACTCGGCGCCCGCAGGGGCGCCGCCGCCGGTCCCGCAGCCGGCGCCCGCGAGGACGCCGCCGAGGCGGCCGCATGGCATCCTCCACGCGGCGTGCGCGGGCGCGCGGCCGGCGGCGCCCGTCCAGCAGCAGGCGCCCGCGGTCTGGCCGGCGGTGCGCGGGGGCTGCTGCCCGCAGTGCCAGGCGGCCAGCGCTGCGGGGCCCCGCGCGGCACAGCACCAGCGCCTGGCCGCGGAGCGCCTGGCCACGCGGCCGGGGGCGCCGCGGGCGTGGGCGCCCTCGGGGCCGGCCGCGGGGGTGCGGGGTCACGCCGCGGCCAGGTGATGAGGGCGCGCGCGCAGAGCTCCAGCGGGGCCGCTCTCCATACCCGCAGCCTGTTCGCGCGCAGCGGGCGTTTTTCTGCAGGAGGAGGCGTGACCGGTTGAGTGGTCAGTGCGGGGAGGGGGGGGCGGAACTGAGAGAAGGAGGTGACGAGGCAGGGACAGGGACGGGACGCATTTGTAGAGCGATTGGGGCTCACTCGTGGAATGTGTCGGCGATGTTCTTTCTCTTCACTTCTGCGCATCATCCGATGGACGACAGCGAGAGATGCCGAGTTTAGGACTGGCTGCTCCCACTGTGGAGAGTAAGCCCCCAACGCGGCCCGATTTTTGCGACACATTTTTTTCGAGATTGCTTAGATCAGAAGCTGGGCGAAGGCTGGCAAACCCGTGGCTGCTAAAACTGAGCTCCGGGAAATTGATTTTTCTCTTCCGGGAAGCCGCCTGTTTACCACTTAGTGCGCTGAGCTTGATTCCCAGAATTTATTCTTCTCTTCCGGGAACACCGTTCGGGTGTTGCTGGAAGTGCCCCTGGCCCAAGGCCCCCCTAGGATTTCCAGGGAGGCCCCCATGGCCTCCGGAGCACCCCTCACGAGGCCCAGAGGGCCCCAGGGGCTCTAAAATCGAGCGACAAGCTGGGGGCACCCTGGTCCAGGGGTACCTTTAGCACCCCCCGAGCCGTTTAAACAGCCACGGGTTTGCCAGCCCTCGCTCAGCTTCCGATTCGAGCTTCTGCGAGGCCTCCTGGACGAGGCACGCCGCGAGCGGCGCCGCTGCGGGCCCGGCGGCCGCCAGGGCACGGGCGACCTGGCGGTGGCACCCGCGCGCGTGCGGGGGGCGCCCTGTCGAAGTTTTTGCTAGGGTCCGCCGATAAGCTGGGTTATCGGGCTTGCCCCCCTCCCCCCGCCTAATACTACGAACTACGAGGCCGTCTTGACATGCCGCGCACCGTCAGGTCCCTCGTGGGATCCTTCGCGCGGGGGGCAGGCTTGCGCCGTGCCTTCTGAATGCTCTCGCGCGATCATGCGCTGTGCTAGCACGGCAACGGTGCTCCGAACAAGTGTGATATAAAGTAAGTATGTTAAAAAAAAGTGTGGCAAGAAACAAGTGTGATGCTCCAAAGCAAGTGTGATACAGAAAATCAGCTGTGTTGTCCCAACCATCCTGTGATGTTGGGTCTTCGTTTTGAAGAGGCAGCCCCCCGCGTTCCCACTCCTCCTCCTCCCTCTCCTCCTCCCCCTCCTCCTCCCCCTCCTCCCTCCTCCGTGCGTCTCACGCACCCTGTACAGCGCTTCGTGGCCCCATAGGGAGCTCCTTCGAAGGCTTCAGCGGGAGCGTCCGCATGGCACCGCCGCTCCATTTCGGCGCACCCCTCACACGGTTCGTGGCCCCATAGGGAGTTCCACCGAAGGCTTCAGCGGGAGCGTCCGCATGGCACCGCCGCTCCATTTCGGCGCACCCCTCACACGGGTCGTGGCTCCATAGGGAGTTCCAACGAAGGCTTCAGCGGGAGCATCCGCATGGCACCGCCGCTCCATTTCGGCGCACCCCTCACACGGTTCGTGGCCCCATCGGAAGCTCCACCGAAGGTTTCAGCGGGAGCGTCCGCATGGCACCGCCGCTCCATTTCGGCGCACCCCTCACACGGGTCGTGGCTCCATAGGGAGTTCCACCGAAGGCTTCAGCGGGAGCGTCCGCATGGCACCGCCGCTCCATTTCGGCGCACCCCTCACACGGGTCGTGGCCCCATCGGGAGCTCCAACGAAGGCGTCAGCGGGAGCGCCCGCATGGCACCGCCGCTCCATTTCGGCGCACCCCTCACACGGTTCGTGGCCCCATAGGGAGTTCCACCGAAGGTTTCAGCGGGAGCGTCCGCATGGCACCGCCGCGCCATTTCGGCGCACCCCTCACACGGGTCGTGGCTCCATAGGGAGTTCCAACGAAGGCTCAGCGGGAGCGTCCGCATGGCACCGCCGCTCCATTTCGGCGCACCCTTCACACGTTTCGTGGCCCCATAGGGAGCTCCACCGAAGGCCCCAGCGGGAGCGTCCGCATGGCACCGCCGCCCCATTGCGGCACACCCCTCACACGGGTCGTGGCTCCATAGGGAGCTCCACCGAAGGCCCCAGCGGGAGCGTCCGCATGGCACCGCCGCCCATTTCGGCACACTCCTCACACGGGTCGTGGCTCATAGGGAGCTCCACCGAAGGCCAGCGGGAGCGTCCGCATGGCACCGCCGCTCCATTTCGGCGCACCCCTCACACGGTTCGTGGCCCCATAGAGAGTTCCACCGAAGGCCCCAGCGGGAGCGTCCGCATGGCACCGCCGCTCCAATTCGGCGCACCCCTCACACGGGTCGTGGTTCCATAGGGAGTTCCACCGAAGGCCCCAGCGGGAGCGTCCGCATGGCACCACCGCTCCATTTCGGCGCACCCCTCACACGGGTCGTGGTTCCATAGGGAGTTCCACCGAAGGCTTCAGCGGGAGCGTCCGCATGGCACCGCCGCTCCATTTCGGCGCACCCCTCACACGGGTTGTGGCCCCATAGGGAGTTCCACCGAAGGCTTCAGCGGGAGCGTCCGCATGGCACCGCCGCCCCATTTCGGCGTACCCCTCACACGGTTCGTGGCCCCATAGGGAGTTCCACCGAAGGTTTCAGCGGGAGCGTCCGCATGGCACCGCCGCCCCATTTCGGCGCACCCCTCACACGGGTCGTGGCCCCATCGGGAGCTCCACCGAAGGTTTCAACGGGAGCGTCCGCATGGCACCGCCGCCCCATTTCGGCACACCCCTCACACGGGTCGTGGTTCCATAGGGAGTTCCACCGAAGGCTTCAGCGGGAGCGTCCGCATGGCACCGCCGCTCCATTTCGGCGCACCCTTCACACGGGTCGTGGCCCCATAGGGAGCTCCACCGAAGGTTTCAGCGGGAGCGTCCGCATGGCACCGCCGCCCCATTTCGGCACACTCCTCGAACGGGTCGTGGTCCCATCGGGCGGGCCCCAGCGGGAGCGTCCGCATGGCACCGCCGCCCCATTTCGGCGCACCCCTCACACGGTTCGTGGCCCCATAGGGAGCTCCACCGAAGGCCCCAGCGTCGGCGTGCGCATGGCACCGCCGCCCCATTGCGGCACACCTTTCGCACGGGTCGTGACTCCATAGGGAGTTCCAACGAAGGCCCCAGCGGGAGCGTCCGCATGGCACCGCCGCCCCATGTCGGCACACCCCTCATACGGGTTGTGGTTCCATAGGGAGTTCCACCGAAGGCTTCAGCGGGAGCGTCCGCATGGCACCGCCGCCCCATTTCGGCACATTCCTCACACGGGTTGTGGTCCCATCGGGAGCTCCACCGAAGGCCCCAGCGGGAGCGTCCGCCTCATTTCGGCGCACCCCTCACACGGTTCGTGGCACCATAGGGAGATCCACCGAAGGCCACAGCGGGAGCGTCCGCCTGGCACCGCCGCCCCATTTCGGCACTCCCTTCGCACGGGTCGTGGCTCCATAGGGAGTTCCAACGAAGGCTTCAGCGGGAGCGCCCGCATGGCACCGCCGCCCCATGTCGGCACACCCTTCACACGGGTCGTGGTTCCATAGGGAGTTCCACCGAAGGCTTCAGCGGCAGCGTCCGCATGGCATTGCCGCTCCATTTCGGCGCACCCCTCACACGGGTCGTGGTCCCATCGGGAGTTCCACCGAAGGCTTCAGCGGGAGCGTCCGCATGGCACCGCCGCCCCATTTCGGCACACTCCTCACACGGGTCGTGGCTCCATAGGGAGTTCCACCGAAGGCTTCAGCGGGAGCGTCCGCATGGCACCGCCGCCTCATTTCGGCGCACCCTTCACACGGTTCGTGGCCCCATAGGGAGTTCCACCGAAGTCTTCAGATGGAGCGTCCGCATGGCATTGCCGCCCCAGTTCGGCACACCTTTCACACGGATCGTGGTCCATAGGGAGTTCCACCGAAGTCTTCAGCGGCGGTGTGCGCATGGCATTGCCGCCCCATTTCGGCACACCATTCTCACGGGTCGTGGCCCCATAGGGAGCTCCACCGAAGGCTTCAGTGGGAGCGTCCGCATGGCGCCGCCGCCTCAGTTCGGCACACCCCTCACACGGTTCGTGGCCCCATAGGGAGCTCCGCCGAAGGCCCCAGCGGGAGCGTCCGCATGGCACCGCCACCCCAGTTTGGCACACCCTTCATACTGGTCGTGGCCTCATAGGGAGTTCCACCGAGGGCCCCAGCAGGAGCGTCCGCATGACACCGCCGCCCCATCTTGGCACCCCTCACACCGTTCGTGGCCCGCAGAGGGAGTTCCACCGAAGGCCCCAGCGGGAGCGTCCGCATGGCACCGCCACCCCATGTTGGTACACCGTTCACACCGTTCGTGGCCCCATAGGGAGTTCCACCGAAGGCCCCAGTGGGGGCGTCCGAATGGCACCTCTACCCCATTTCGGCGCACCCCTCACACGGGTTGTGGCCCCATAGGGAGTTCCACCGAAGGCCTCAGCGGGAGCGTCCGCATGGCATTGACACACCATTTTGGTAACTTTTCGCACGGGCCGTGGCTCCTATAGGGAGCTCCACCGAAGGTTTCAGCGGGAGCGTCCGCATGGCACCGCCGCCTCATTTCGGCACACCCTTCACACGGTTCGTTGCCCCAGAGGGAGTTCCACCGAAGGCTTCAGCGGGAGCGTCCGCATGGTACCGCCGCCCCATTTTGGCACGCCTTTGCACGGTTCGTGGCCCCAAGCGGGAGCGTCCGCATGGCACTTCTACTCCATTTCGGCACGCACCTCACACGGTTCGTGACCCCATAGGGAGTTCCACCGAAGGCTTCAGCGGCGGCGTCCGCATGGCATTGCCGCCCCATCTTGGCACACCATTCTCACGGGTCGTGGCTCCATAGGGAGTGTCACCGAAGGCTTCAGCGGCGGCGTGCGCATGGCATGCCGCCCCATGTCGGCACACCACTCTCACGGGTCCTGGCCCCATAGGGAGTTCCACCGAAGGCTTCAGCGGGAGCGTCCGCATGGCACCGCCGCCGCATTTCGGCACACCCCTCACACGGTTCGTGGCCCCATAGGGAGCTCCACCGAAGGCCCAAGCGGCGGCGTGCGCATGGCATTTGCCGCACCATTTTGGTATTTTTTCGCACGGGTCGTGGCCCTTATAGGGAGTTTCACCGGAGGCTTCAGCGGGAGCGTCCGCATGGCACCGCCGCCTCATTTCGGCACACCCATCACACGGTTCGTGGCCCCATAGGGAGCTCCACCGAGGGCCTCAGCTGGAGCGTCCGCATGGTACCGCCGCCCCATTTTGGCACGCCCTTGCACGGTTCGTGGCCCCACAGGGAGCTCCGCCGAAGGCCCCAGCGTGAGCGTCCGCATGGCACCTCTACTCCGCTTCGGCACGCCCCTCACACGGTTCGTGACCCCATAGAGAGTTCCACCGAAGGCCCCAGCGGGAGCGTCTGCATGGCATTGCCACCCAATTTTGGCACACTCCTCACACGGTTTCGTGGCCCCAGAGGGAGCTCCACCGAAGGCCCCAGCGGGAGCGTCCGCATGGCGCGGGCCGCGCACGGGGCTCGGGCGAAACCAAGAAGATTCCCTGCTCGCCCGCGTCAGCTTTTCTCCCCCTCATGCACGCCGCAGTCCTTTTTGTTGCCCCCCCTCCTTCGTCTCCTCTCCCTCGCGGCTAATTATCACAGTCAGGCTAATTGTTCGGAGCACCTGGGCGTGCCGCCCAGAAGGGGTGCGAGAGGACACGAAAGGAAAGTGCAGTGAGCGCACGGCCGCCCCTGTGCCAGGCTCTGCACTCGAGGGCGTGCAGGGGTCTCGCGTCCTGCGTCCTGCACGGCGGCTATGTCTGAAGTGTTTGCGCTGAGGCTGCAGTAGGTTGTCGGGTGCGGGCGCAGCACCGATTTTGGGAGCGCGTCACTCCCTGCGTCACGGCGAGGCTCGGTCTGGCCCGCGAGTCCCACACTGTCCCACTTTTGGCGGCAGCTGGTTCTTTCTGATTGCCAAACCGAATATCGACATACTCATCTTTATGGCACGTGCGCACGTGCGTTTAACCTGAAGACCCTCTTTGCACTCGGTTTAGGTGTCTCTATAGACGGCTCGTCCACGCTGGCCTTACTGCGTGTTTTGCACCTCCTCTGTGCCTCCTGCGCACGCCCCTCTTATAATCGCGCGTCGACGGTTTTTGTTGACACTTACTGTCAAGGGCCCACAGTCAGATCGGGCAAAGCGAAAAGGGCTCGAGAGCAACCCCGACCTTCTTCGGATGGAGACCTTTACCGAGCCTTCCTCCAGTTCTCACACTTGTGAGGATAAGCGAGAGGCTTGAATTGATCATCAAGCCTAGCGAGGCGTTCTCCAGATGTGAACGCACCGCGCCGCCGACAAATGCATGGTGAACCGGAGACTCTGGTCACCTGAGATGTGAAGAGCAGCACGGTGAGCGTTGCGTTGCAGCAACGGCCCACGGCTGCCGAGAGCAGGGGGATAGGGTGGTACGTGTTTTGTCTTTCCTTCGAGAACGGAAGTGATGAAACTGGTAAGATAGATGTGATGACAAGGTTGATGAGGTCGATGTTGATGGGTACGATGATGATGTTGATGATGCGATACTGGTTACACCTGTGTTTTTTTATATTGTGGTGATCATTGAGTCGGGCCTGAAAGGGGATTATGAGTGGGAGGAGGGGAGTGCTTACGAGTCACATCCTCCTTCTCCTTCTCATCCTCCTTTCATCCCCCTCCTCCTCCTGGGGGCCCCCCTCTCCCCGGCTCCTCCCTCGCTTCGGGCCACCGTCCATTCCCCGTCACACCCCCCCCGCTGGCGGGTGGTTCGGGCTGCTAGGCGGGGATGGGCTCCCGCCAGGCCCAGTGGCGCACGTGCGCCCTTTTTTTACTGTCGCCGAAGCTTGGAGGGACTCGCTTTTGAGAGAACGGCCTCGGCGGGGCGCAGACGAGGGACTCGCTTCTGAGTGAACTTTGCGCTTTGAAGACAGGAGCCGTGGCTTGGAGGGACCCGTTTTTGGGTGAACAGCCGCGGCGGGGCGCAGACATGGTACTCGCCTCACCGGTTTTGCGCTTTGTGGATTTCGCTTCGCGAAGGCTGTAATCCCTGTAATCCCCCGCCTCATCATCCTACTCCTTCCCCCCTCCTGCTCATCCTCTAGCTTCCATCAGTCATTATCATCCTCATTCTATCGAAGACGCCTACTAGGATGAGTTTGGCGGTTGCTAGAAGAAAGGCGCTTTAGGTGGTGGAACTAACCCAGTTTGTTGTGGTGTGCAACCTATTTCGTTGTGGTGTGCAACCAATTTCGTAGTGGTGTTCAAGTACTTAGCCACTTGCGACCCACACGCTATGTTCCGGCCAAACTTGCCAATTTCTATAATTGGTTGCAGAACTTGCAAGTGGAGAGTTTGCATGTCTAGGCGCCCAAGTTAAGTACTTGCATGTACTTACAAGTACTTAACGTCAGATCAAATTGCACTTAGCACGTACTTGCTAAGTGTTTGCGTTTACTTACAACAAGCACGTCACGACCACTTATGTTAGTTTTTCCCCAACATATGTTTCAGGATAATAGTATGTTGATTGATCGGGTTCGTTTGGGATATATAGAATAAACGAACCGCGCGCTTGCATTCAACAATGTGATAACGTGTTGAGCATAACACCACATGTTGTTTAACATAAAAGCCACATGCTGCAACCTGAAACCTCAAACACAAGTTGTAAAACACACGAGAGCCCAAACCCCGCACGCGCGATGACGGTGAGGATGAGGATGATGGCGATGATGATGACGGTGACGAGACTGCATATGCATATGTATGTGTATGCATGTATGTGCATTCGTTTGCAGACGCACGTGCGCGCGAGGAGGGAGGAGGGAGGAGGGAGGAGGAGAGGGGATGATTTTGGTGACGGGCAAGAGGAGGAGGAAGGAGGAGGAGGGAGCAGGAGGGAGGAGGGAGGATGATTTCGGTGACGCGTGTCTCCTCGGCCTCCCGTAAGGCCGCACAGCAATTTCAAATTCAGTTTTTGGAATTGCATGTCGTTCTTTCTAATTATTTTCCTATTTTTTCCAATCCGTTTCGATTTAACTTTTGTTTTTCGTTGTGAACGCGTTTCAAAACACGTTTTCACATGCTCTGAACGCCGGCCATCGCGCCCATGCGTTTTGGCCACCGGGCTGCCGTTTTGTTGGTTGTTCTGTTCTGGCACAGGCGCGTGCCGCACGTTGTGTTGGGTGTTTTGTTTTCTCGTGGGCAGGCGCCGCTTGTTTTGTTGGCGTTTTGTTTTGCTGGGGGGTCCCCCCCCCAGCACCACCACCCTGCAACATCCCGCAGCACCAGCCCCCCTCAGCACAAACCCCCAGCACAACCCCCCAGCACAACCCCCAGCACAGCCCTGAAAACCCCCCAGCACGGCCCCCCAGCACAACCCTCCCAAGCATAACCCCCCAGCACAACCCCCCCAGCACAACCCCCCAGCACAACCTCCAGCACAACCTCCAGCACAACCTCCAGCACAACCTCCAGCACAACCTCAAGCACAACCTCCAACGCAACCTCCCTCCAGCACAACCTCCAGCTCAACCTCCAGCACAACCTTCAGCACAACACCCGCACAACCACCAGCACAACCTCCAGCACAACCTCCAGCACAACCTCCAGCACAACCTCTGCAACACAATCTCCAGCACAACCTCCAGCACAACCTCCAGCACACACCTCCAGCACAACCTCCAGCACAACCTCCAGCACAACCTCCAGCACAACCTCCAGCACAACCTCCAGCACAACCTCCAGCACAACCTCCAGCACAACCTCCAGCACAACCTCCAGCACTCCAGCACAACCTCCAGCACAACCTCCAGCACAACCTCCAGCACAAGCACTCCAGCCAGCACAACCTCCACAACCTCCAGCACAACCTCCAGCACAACCTCCAGCACAACCTCCAGCACAACCTCCAGCACAACCTCCAACACAACCTCCAGCACAACCTCCAGCACAACCTCCAGCACAACCTCCAACACAACCTCCAGCACAACCTCCAGCACAACCTCCAGCACAACCTCCAGCACAACCTCCAGCACAACCTCCAGCACAACCTCCAGCACAACCTCCAGCACAACCTCCAGCACAACCTCCAGCACAACCTCCAGCACAACCTCCAGCACAACCTCCAGCACAACCTCCAGCACAACCTCCAGCACAACCTCCAGCGCAACCGCCAGCGCAACCTCCAGCACAACCTCCAGCACAACCTCCAGCACAATCACAACCTCCAACACAACCTCCAGCACAATCTCCAGCACAACCTCCAGCACAACCTCCAGCACAACCTCCAACACAACCTCCAGCACATCTTCCATCACAACCTCGAGCACAACTTCCAGCACAACCTCCAGCACAACCTCCATCACAACCTCCAGCACAACCTCCAGCACAACCTCCAGCACAACCTCCAGCACAACCTCCAGCACGACCTCCCGCACAACCTCCAGCACAACCTCTGGCGCAACCTCCAGCACAACCTCCAGCACAACCTCCAGCACAACCTCCAGCATAACCTGCAGCACAACCTGCAGCACAACCTCCAGACTCTAAATTGGCCCTCTCTAGGGGTTGTGCTGGCAGTTTGTGCTGGGGGGATGTCTGGGGGTGTGTGCCGGGAGTTGTGCTGGGGGGGTTGTGCTGGGGGGTTGTGCGGGTGGTTGTGCTGTGGGGTTGTGCCAGGGGGTTGTGCTGGGAGTTGTGCTGGAGGGTTGTGCGGGGGGGCTGCGCTGGGGGATTGTGCTGGGGGGTTGTGCTGGGAGGTTGTGCTGGGGTGTTGTGCTGGGGGGGTTGTGCCAGGGGGTTGTGCCAGGGGGTTGTGTCAGGGGGTTGTGCTGGGGGGTTGTGCTGGGGGGTCGTGCTGGGAGGGGGGGGGGTTGTGCTGGGGGGGTTGTGCTGAGGAGTTGTGCTGGGGGGGGGGTTGTGCTTGGGGTTTGTGCTGGGTGATTGCGCTGGAGGTTTGTGTTGGGGGTAGTGCTGGGGGTGTGCGCTGGAGGATTTTGCCCAGGGGGGTTGTGCGGAGGGGGTTTGTGCTGGGGATCGTGCTGTGCGAGTGTGTGCTGGGGGGTTGTGCTGCGATCTCCACCTAAATCGTCACTCGCTCCCTCGCGGATTAAATCTTTATCTAGATCTCCGCCTAAATTGTTACTTGCGCTCTCGCTGATTAAACCATCACTTGACTCGTTGTCGTCGTCGTTGTTCCTTGGCGCTCGCTCGTGCAGTTTTTTCCGTTTTATTGGTGGCCCGCGGCCGTGCCACCGTTTTTGTTCACCCGCTGTTTTGTTCCAGAGCGGCCCGCGCGACGCCGGCCGGCGGTTTCGTTCAAACTTCGTTTTTAAACGGATGCGAAACGTGAACAGAAAACATTGTTCAGGTTGAGCCCTATTTCTATAGTGGTCAATCCAGAACTCCGCACGCTCGCGCGCGCTCGCGCGTGACTATGGTCACCCGCGCGCGGGTGACACGTGTCACCTTTGCTTCCCTTATAAGGCCTTATAACAATTGCAAATTCAGTTTTTGGAATGTCATGTCGGCCTTTCTAGCGTGGGCACTGCAGATCCCCCCAGCGCGCGCCGCCGCGCGCGCGGGTGACCCACCCATCGCGTGGGTCACCTCGGCCTCCCTTCATTAAGGCTTGTACAGAAATTTCAAATTCAGTTTTTGTAGAATTACATGTTGGTATTTTTCTTGTGCGCAATCTAGAACTCCACAGCGCGCGCCGCCGCGCGCGCGGCGGCGGCGCGCGCGCGCGCGGATGACCCACCCATCGCGTGGGTCACCTCGGCCTCCCATACGGCATCACAGAAATTCCAAATTCAGTTTTTGAAGCTACATGCCGGCTTTTCTACCTTGGGCAGCATAGAGCTTCGCAGCGCGCGCCGCAGCGCGCGCGCGGGGTGACCGCGTGATCGTTGTACACGAGTGCGCGTGCGCGTGCGTATTTGCGCGCGTGCGCGCGTGCGTGTGCGTGCTCGCGCTTGCGACGGGCAGGTGCGTAATTTTTGTGTGATGGCGCGCGTGCGCGTGCCCGCTCGAGTTCCTCATCGCGCCAGGGGGCGCGGCGGCGGATGTTATGGTGCCAGGTGCAATGTGGCGGATGTTGGGAATGTCTTGGGCATCTTTGGGCCATCATGGGCTGTCTGGGGCTATCGCCCGAACCCACAGCACCGCAACCCTGACGCCCGAACCCTAGACCGAGCGCCCTTGCCCTACACCATAACCCGAGCACCAAAACCATGAACCTATCCTAACCCGAACACCCCATCCCAAACCGCCGCCCTCAAGACGGCTTCAAGAAACGCCCCCACCAAGACGCCCCCTGCTTTGTAAGGCCCAGCACGGGGGCTCTGACCATGGCCTACACGCCTATATGAGGCCTCCAGGAGTTAACCTTCGGGGCCCCATGATCTTTGGATGTCGGTGTCTTCGGCTGGTGTGCGCGCAGCGTGCAACGTCTCTCTCCCTCTCTCTCTATCTATATATATAGAGAGAGGGTCTCAGGGTGCTGTGTCTCAGGGCAAGCCAGGGCCGCGCGGTCACAGGCCCTTGAGTACCTTGAGGGCTCCAGGGCCTCAGGGTCCATGGCCTCGGGGTCGCAGGGTCCGAAAGGCCGCGCGGCCGCATTGGGGTCCAGGGCCTTCGGCGACGACGGCGCCGACGACGCGTATTTGGTGTCTGTGCGCGCTGGATGCCGCGGGGCCCTGAGGTGGGCGTCCTGAGGCTCGCGCGGCATTTCGCATTCGCGCACTCGCTGACTCCTCGTTTCCATCTGCCGATGCCTCTCCACCCCGTGCTTCCGCCGCCGTTCGGGCCCGTGCCGCGATGCGTCTCTCGCGCGCCTCAGCGCTTGACGCTATCATATTTTGGCGGCCAGCTACCACCGCACCTCAGCGCTTGGCGCCATCAGATGCGGGCGCCATGGCGCCCAAGAAACGCCAGAAAAAAAAAAGGAGCTGCGACGAGGTGGTCACGGAAAATGCAGAGCTGAAGAAAACCATGAACATGCCAGCGGGACTGAAGGACAAGTGTTCCGCCTTCGACTGGTGCGCGCATGGCCTCGACAACCTGAAGCTCGGCTTGGAGTGGCGCCGGATGGGGATCGCGGGTGCGAGCCGCCTGCGGCGCGCGCAGGTGCAGCCCGCGGCAAGCATTCGCAACCGTGGCCAGCGAGTCGATGCGATGCAGCAGATCGCCGCAGCCGAGGGCGCACCCGCTCTCGCCAGGCACGCGATGCACGCGGCCGAGCGCGCCGCGGGAACACAAGCGGCCCGCGCTACGGTCGCTGCGTGCACAGTTTCGGCAGCGGCAGCCGCGGCGGCCGAGGTCGCCCCGCAGCCCACCCCAGCGGACTGCGTTCCGCCCTTCCAGAGGCAGGCGACGGAGTCTCATAGTCCCAGTCTCAGTCTCAGTGCGCCGCGGCAGTTTGCAGTTAGATTGCAGTCGTAGTTGCAGCGCGCCGCGGCAGTTGGCAGTTATATATTGCAGTCGCCGCTTCCCTATATCTCGCGCTGCTGGCGGAGTTGACCGCAGCGCCTGGGCGATCTCGCCGAAGGATCGATGCGTCTTGCAGCGCGCACTGCCATGAGAAAATCACCTCCTCGTTTCGGCATCCCTCGCCCCGTCGCAATTTCAAATTACGACGGCGACGACGACGACGTCGACGTCGAAACGCCCCGAAGGCCGCTGGTCTTCACCTCTTGGAGGCCCCAGCAGGGATTGGGCTGCGCAGGATTGCCTCGGGGCCATCGCGGGCGCAATGGGGCATCGGGGCCGCCGTCGGCCCATGGTAGCCGCGCGCCCTCGCGGCACCCTGGGGCCACCGTTGGCGCGGGGCGTCTCGGGGCCTCTTTCGATTTCGGGGACGGGGGGGAAGGGGGCCTGGTGCCAAACGATGTCGGGGCCTGGCGGTGCCGACGCAGCTGTGACTGCACTGCGTCTCAGACCACATTCCCCAAACACTGCTTGCGCGTATAGGGCTTCTGATTTGTGAGTGGCGGCATGGCGGCTCCGTGCTCGCCGTCGCCGCTCCGCGGCCGCCGCGTCGCCGCCCGTCGCATGGGCTCCTGTCGCTCGGCAAATGGTCGTGGTTTGGACTATTGTGTGATCCCGGACGTCCTCATGCCGTCGGTAAAAGGGGCGCACGGTCGTTTTCAACTTGTTCTTGGCGCCGTGTAGGCCTGTTGGGCTCCGTTTCTCTACCCGAGCTGTTCCTTTTACTGTCTTGGCGCACAATGGTCTTCGCAAGCCCCCGCAGGTTATCCCTATGGGGCTTTCTCCTGTTCCGCCCGACTGGTCCAGTGTGTTGGAGGCCCTCAAAGCCAATGGAGACCCGATCAGTTTGAACCAGGTGTTCGGGAAATTCATGAGCCTCATGGAGGACGAATTCATCGGGGTTCACGGGTTCGCGGAGCACCAGCAGGTTTGGTTTCGAGGAAGGGGCTCCGGCTGGAAGTTCAAAAGGCCCCGTGGCTTGCTCCCGCGCCAGGCCCCGACCCTATTGCTGGCCAGGAGGCGCTGGGTTGGAGGCGCGCGGCCAACTGGTTGCGCGAGCTCGGCCGCATCCAGGCCCAGGACGAGTGTAGAAGACCTCTCATCCTCGCCTCCCTCCTGGCTAAGCTTTGCAGTGGGCCGCTGGCCATATGGGGCACTCCAGCCTGGACCCAGTTCTCTCTTTCGGCTGATGAGTGGAGCAGCATGACTTCCGCGGGTCTTGCTGGCTGGGCGAAGCTTGCAGGTGCACGGGCAGTTCGTTGCGAAAGAGATTTTACCTAGCAGCGGGCAGCGGTGCGGCGAAATTTCGTGACGGACGCGGTTGCGAACGGCGGTGGCGAAGTTCATAGATTTGTTCGTCTCCCCGTCGGTTGGCGCCCTACTCGTCCTAAGCGGGGGGAGGCCCCGCTAGGACCCGAGGGCGAGTTGGAGCATGTTCTTAAGGATTGGGAGGAGGTCTGGACCTGCCCCAACGCTGACGCGAACCCCGACAAGTGCACGCAGCAGCCCCCGCCCCTCCTGGAGTCCCAGCAGTGCCCCGATATTTTGTATTGCCTTGGAGTTATCCGTAAGGTTTCGCGTGAGGTAAACAGCTAGACCTCCCATGGGGTTGATCGTTCGGGCCGGGGGGGGCTCCTGCGTCGCCTCGGACCAGGGCCTCGGGCCCTCAGCTTGCTCCGGAATCGGATGCTCGTCTTGGGCGGGTTACCCTCGCATATGAGCCTCGCCCCCATGCCTTCCCCCCCGACGCCCGAGGGGGGCGCGCGGCTCATCGGGCCGCCGAGCATGGCGGTCAGGATCTGGGCCCGTTGTTCCAGGGGCGTCGCTCGCCATTGGGAACTGCCCATCACGAAACACACGCGCATGGGGCTCGAGGAAGACCTTGTGAAAAAAGGGCCGTCCGGGCGGAGTTCTGTATGAGCGAGGGCGCCGTTTTGACCAGCGGGGCGGCTGCCAACTCTTTCCTCGACTTCGTTGAAGCCTACGAGGAGGTCCAGCATGGTGACCTCATTCGGGCGGCCCAGATGCGCACTCTCATGATTTTCTCTTCCGGCTTTGTCTAACGGTGCACCGTGCACCCCGCGGCCTCCTGCTCGGTAAGCGCGTCTCTCGCTTTTTTCGCATCCTGTCCACCATCGTCGCGGGCTGCGGTTTTGCCGCGACCTTGTTGCACGCGGTGCTATTGGATGCTCCTGATGTGCGTGAGAAGTGGTTTCCGCGCGCTGCGCTGTCCAACGCGGTTGGCGATATCGCGGCCAGATTGTCTGCGCGGCCGAGTTCGTTGCTAAAGTGGCGTCGGCAGTCACCCGCGCTTTCTGTCGCATGCTCGAGGCTCTGGGACATGTCGCTTCCGCCGCGAGAGGCAAGGCCGCGGCGACGACGGTGGGGGTCGCAGACAGAGTAGTGGCTGGCATGAAGAAGCGGCGCTGCAGGCCGACTCACTGCGCGAAGGACTTCGGTGCAAACTACGCGCTCGGGAGTCGCAAGCGCGCTCGGGTTCAGGCGGGGCGGGTGGGCAAGGTGCGGGCCCGAGCGGGTCGGTGTCGTTCTTTGAGAAGTCAGTTCCGTAGGTTTGCGGTGAGTGCTACGGTCGGGGCCTTTCCTGCGGGCCCCCATGGGGCCGGCGTCGTCGGGATCTCGAGCTGGCTCCTCTCTGGGCTTCGTCGCGCCGTTGCTGAGGGCTCTTTGGGCCTGCGCGGGGCCGCCCCCGAACTATTCAGTATTGGTTTTCGCTTTCGCCCGAGGCCGACCCAGCCTTCGCCGGCAATTCCATGTCGCTCCCCGCTCGGGGGGGGGCCTCCTGGCAGGGCTGGGCCCCGTCGGGAGGAGACGCGCACTGTCTTTGACCTGTTGCTCGAGCGTCTCCGCGCTGATGAGTTCACCTGGTCTGGTGGCCATGGCTCCTCGTAGGTTTGGTTGGTTTCCCGTGAGTTTTCGCGCTTGGATTTCGCCCCCGGGCCTTGCCCGTGACCTCGAGGTGGTCCGCGAGGTGTCCGTGCAGAAATGCGTCGACCTTGGCGCTGGGGACCTTGTATTTGGACAGCGTCGTTGGAGCGGCCAGGGCCAGGGGCTCTCTCGCCACCGGCATGGCGCCGTCAGCGAGGCATGCGCCTTCCTCCGCCGACGAGGAGAGGGTCTGCAGGCCAGCCTTCTTGCCGCGCATGTCTCAGGAGGTCTTGCCACTCAGTCGGCGTTGCATCAGGGTCGCTGGGCGATCGATGGAAGGTGCCAGCTGTGTCTCGGCGTTCGAGGCGCCGCGCAGCATCGACTTTTTGCGTGCGACGGCCTGCAGCCAGGTCGTTCCCAGCTTGGGTTTGATCAGGGGCTGTTGGGATGGACGAGGGAGGCCGAGAGCGACCCCCGGATGTCCCGCTGCCTCGGCCCTGTCCCTATCAGGTTCATTCCCCGCGTTCAGGTCGCAGGAGTTTGGAGGTGGGACATCGGCCCCCCTGGAGGTTCACTCGAGGGCCACGCGAGCTCCGACGACTCTTCATTGTTCCCAGAGCTTCCCCTCTTCACGGTCGCGGCTTGGGCTGTCGTGATGCTGGGTGGAGGTGGGGGCGCGTTGGGGACGGCCTCGGGCCTTCTGCCGCATACATCGCATTTTATTTATGGGCCAGAGGTTTTCGCGCTCCCCATGGCACTCCGCCTCGGGCCCAGGCGATCTTGAGCTTGGTTGTGACTGTGGGTCTGCTGTTCTGACCTGGTCCCGAGGTGCGGAACATGATGTTTCCAACTTGCCGCATGCTGAGCTCTGGGAAGAGATGCGTTTTCGGCGACGGGAGCGGGGAGACTCTGTTAAGGTGTTCCGTGTTCCCGCGTGCAGGTCTTGGCCGCGAGCTCAGTCTCTGGGGATCTCGTTCTGGGCTTGGCAATGCAATCGTCTTGCTGACCAGGCTGCCAAAAGGGCTGCTGGTCAGATTCCTGTGCCAGTCTCGCTGAAGGGAAAGTGCATCGAGCAGCGCGATAAGCTGCACACCCTGCGTGGGCTCACAGGGGCGATGCTGGACGTTGCTGGCCGGCCGACGTTCCGAGATGTCTCCAGAGTTGTGGCCAAGCGGCCCAGCCCCCCTGGAACCCAACTGCTCCTTTTCCCTGGCCCCACCGATCACGTTTTGCGGCGGCGGGGGAAAGGGTGGCTGTGTGCGAAATGTCTGGAGCGAGGTCGCAGTTGGACCCATCTCGCTAACTTTCGCTGCTCTGGAATGCCCAGGATTCGTCGCCAGGCCCATCGGACCCATCGTTTTTGGGGAAGGGATCCCGGCGCCAGGCCCCCGATTATTTGGTGTTCCTGGTGCGGCAGCTACGCCGGGCATCGGATAAATTTGATTGCTGGGCCCTTCAGGAATCGGCCTCAGAATGAGGCGACTGCCAAGCCGCTGCTGATGCTTCGTCCCCTCCTCCTCCCCATCCCCCTCCTCCTCCTCCTCCTCCTCCTCCTTCTCCTCCTCCTTCCCCTCCTCCTCCCTCTCCTCCTCCCCATCCCCCTCCTCCTCCTCCTCCCTCCTCCTCCTCCTCCTCCTCCTCCTCCTCCTCCTCCCCATCCCCCTCCTCCTCTTCCTCCTCCTCCTCCTCCTGCTGATGCTTCGGCAGGGCGTGGATCCGACGAGCCGTCGGCATTTCGGACGCAGCTTTCCCCTTTTCTGGGCGGAGCGAGGGGAAGTGAAGGCCTGCGTCCCCACGCCCGCTGGCTTGACACAGGCTTGCCCCGCGTCAAGTCAGGCCAGTGCTCTCGCTGAAGTTTGGCAGGGGCGTTGTCTTCCCCGCTCGGTCCTCCACCGAGGGAGGACTTCGGGTCTCTTCGGCGGAGGCCTGGGCGGGGGGGGGGCTGCGGCGCCCTTGACTTGTTTCCTTTTTTTTTTTTTTTTTTTTTTCTCTCTCTCTCTCTCTCTCTCTCTCTCTCTCTCTCTCTCTCTCTCTCTCTCTCTCTCTCTCTCTCTCTCTCTTCTTACTCTTTCTTTTTGCCCAGGTTCTGCGGCGCCTCTGGCATGCGGATCCTTGGCGTTTGGTGAAACTGGTGAAACAGGAGGAGGAGGAGGAGGAGGAGGGCGACGAGGAGAAGGAGTAGGACGAGGAGGAGGAGGAGGAGGAGGTGGAGGTGGAGGTTAAGGAGGAGGAGGACGAGGAGGAGAAGGGGGGGCCCGCTTCCCCAGGTTTTTCAAAGAGGATGAGGACCCGCCCACCAACCACGTCGTTGGCAGGGCCTTCTGCCTCACCATTTCTTAGTTTTTGTACGTTTCACCCTGACGTCGGGCTTCTCTCAGAGGCATACGTTCTGCAGCCTGAAGAAACCTGAGGAAGAGGAAGAGGAGCAGGAGGAGGAGGAGGAGCAGGAGGAGGAGGAGGAAGGGGAGGAGATGAGTGGGACGAGTCTGTATGTGTGCGCCGGGGAGTCCCCCGCGACGATCGTCGGCCGGTGGCTGCCCTCACCGTCTCGCATGGTCCCGCCTCTCCCTTGACCGCCCTCGCGTGGTCCCTCGGGCTGTAAGCGGAGCCGTGCGGCTTCGCAACCCTGACTCTCCACCTTCCATGCCTTCCGCGCGGAAGGTCTGGAAGCTGTTTTCGTGTCTGATTTTGTTTGCTTTGTCTTGTTGTGTCTGCTTTGTCTTGTTTTGTCTGCTTTCGCTTGGTTTGTCTTCTTTGTCTTGCACATGAGCGTGTGCATGCGATCGCGCGATCATCGGTCACTTTCAAAACCTAACAAACTTCTAACTCTATATCATCTTACATCCATAATATACCTCGTCATCCCTCATCTTCTGTTCCACATCATAGTCGTGTCCGTCATGGTTCGATCTAGTCTTGGGGTCTTGGTGTACTCTTGGGGTCTTGGGGTCTCGGGGTTCATCCTGGGGTCTTGGGTTCCTCGGGGGTCTCGGGGGTTCTCTTGGGGTCTTGGGGTCTGGGGGTTCCTCCTGGATCTCGGGATTGGGCGGCAGGCCATGGGGGTCCCAGCTGGAGCGCCGACGGTGGAGGGTCGTTTTGGGGGTCGTCTTGGAGAACGACGACGACGACGAGGTGATCGACCAGTCGGGCTCAGACGAGCTGAAGGCCAGGGAGAACGACGACGACAGTAGAGTTCAGGTTCAAGGATCTGTTGGCTGCCCTTGCATCGCAACCCCATGCGCTTGGAGGTGCAGGCTGGGCTCGCGCGCGCGCTCCATGAGCTGCCGCCATCCTCGTTGAACACTGGCGCGCTATGTTCTTGGAACACGGGCGGCAAAAAGCGGTGCAAGGGCCTCCCAGAGTACATCCTCTCCAGTGGCTGGTGGAAAGCATTGAAAGTGTGTGAGGGGATCAGTGCGAACTTGCGCATCGATCTAACAGACTGGGAAGGTGCTGTCCTGCAGGTGATCGGGGCAAAGTTCCCCCAGCAGAAGTGCATGGAGGAGGCCGGGAAGATCCTGGATATGGTAGCTGGGTGGAGGCGGGCCATCAGGAGCCCAGGGTCAAACTAGGATGAGGAGGAGGAGTAAGCCTAGGACGAGTAGGAGGAGGGGTCGGAGGAGGAGGAGGAGGAGGAGGAGGAGGAGGAGTAGGACGCGTAGGAGTATGAGGAGTAGGAGGAGTCCGAGGAGGGTTAGGAATACGAGTAGGAACGCGATTAGGGGGATGGGGTAGCGGGAGAAGGGTGTACCAGTACGCGTACGAGTGCGAGTAGGAGTACGAGTAGGAGCACGAGTAGGAATACGAGTACGGTTAGGAATGAGAGTAGGAGTACGAGTAGGGGGAGGGGGTGGTGGGGGGGACGGGGTACGAGTAGGAATACGAGTAGGAATACGAGTATGAGTACGAGTTGGAAAACGAATAGGACTAGGGGTGCGAGTACTAGTAGCATGAGCATGAGTAGCAGTGGGGCTCGGAGTACGCGTAGGAGTACGAGTGCTTGGAGGGGGGTGGGGGAATGCAAACCACACCCAGTAACAACTACACCATCCCGCCGCAGCTGATGCAGGTCATGCAATCGAAAGGAGGTGGTCCTGCTGGTGGTAGTTCTGACATTGCAGCCCGATCATACTTCATGAACGCCATGTTCAACGACGACGACGACGACCTCTCGGACGACAGCCTTCAGTCGGACGCGAGCGCGACAGGCTCACCAATCGCCTCGCCCCCCTCATCCGCATCACCCCCGCCCTCGTCACCCTCATCCTCCTCACCCTCATCCTTATCAGTATCCTCCTCGCTATCCTCATCCTCGCCTTTCTCATCCTCATTACCCTCGCTTCCAGCATCCTCATCCTCATCCTCATCCTCATCCACCTCCCCGTCATCGTCATCACCATCCTGCTCCTCCTCCTCCTCCTCCTCATCCGCATCATGCTCGCTCTCCGTATCCTCATCATCTTGATCATCCTCCTCATCATCGTCCGCATCCTCGCTCCACTCATCATCGTCCTCCTCTCCTCATCCTCATCCTCAACATCCTCATTCCTGATTCTGCATCACCCTCACCCTCCTTATCCTCATCCTCAATATCCTCGCTCTCCTCAGTACTGTGCACATCGCCGTCCTCACCCTCAGACTCCTCGTCCTCCTCGCCATCCTCATCCTCGTGCTGATCGTCTTCCCTGCCCATCTCCACGTCGTCGCCCTTCTCCTCGCCCCATCGTCCTCCAACTCATCGCCCTCATCCTCCTCCTCATCGCATCTCGGCTTCCGAGGTGGCGACAAGCACACGGGCAAGAGCAAGGGCAAAGGCGCCGCGTCTCTGCAGTCGGGCAAGGGCACCGAGCCGTCGCCGCCCAGCAAGGGGAAGAACGCGCAGGAGACGTGGGGAGACCAGGATGAGGAGGGCGATAAAACGTACGGTGAGGCTTAGGATGACGAGGATGACGAGGGAGGGGATGAGGACGAGGCGAGGATGGATGAGGAGGAGAGGAGGCGAATGAGGAGGAGGAGACGGGAAGACGAGAAGGGGGGATGGATGAGGATGGGGGGGAACGGTGGAGGCGAGCATTGCGAAGGAAGAGGAGGGGCGAGAAGGATGATGGGCATGATGAGGGCCAGGGGTGAGGAGGGAGAGGAGGATGCGGATCAAGGATAGGGAGAGGCGGGAGATGCCAGGCGAAAGGCTGGACTCGACCAAACAAGTAGTGCATAGCGAATTCGGGCGGGCTGCCCGCGCGAATTCGTTATGCAAGGCCCTGGGGCACCCCAGGTTAGGCGGGTGAGCGGGAGCAGGAGGGGCCCCCCCACCACCCCACCCAGGACGTCATTCCTGCCTTGGCGTCCTGCGACGGGGAAGGCGAGGAGGAGGAGCCCCACGAGCTGGATTATCCCGAAGAGCATGTTGAGTACGTGGTGAAGGGTGGCTTTTGCATCCGCACCGAGGACGGCAAACGGTCGACGGACAAGTTCGAGATTGACGGCAACACGTGCTTCACGTGGCTGGGCGGTGACAGGTGGATCGCGTCGCCCCCGATCCCGCTCGCCAAGGCGGGCTCGACGGACAAGGGCAGGCGCACGGCCAAGTGTGGCAAGGCCAAGGTTGGCAAGGGCAAGCCCGCGGCGGCCACAGCCTCGAAGGGTGCTGCGCTGGGCAAGGGCTCGCGGGACAAGATGCAGGCGCCTGGCGGCGACGAGGCAGGCGGCGCGAAGCGCAAGCCGAAGGCGAAGGCGAAGGCAGCGGCGGTGGACACCAAGCGAACGAAGAGGACGGAGGAGGCCCCAGCTGATGATGATCTCGAGAAGATGTTCGTCGAGGTTCGCTCGATATGCGAGCGCCATGGCGACTGCAGGGCGGGTTGTGACAAGAGGCCGAAAACAAAGGGTGGCTGGGAGGCATGGGTCAAGTACCACAGCACGCAGAAGTGGTCCAGCACCTTCAGCAAGAGTGGCAAGAGCTTGCTCGAGACGGTCATGCAGGCGAACTCGGTGGCGAAGCAGACGAACGACTGCAGGAAGGCGCTGACAGGCGTCGAGGGCACGTTCGGCGACGACGAGGTCGACAAGGGCGACGAGAAGCTCGAGGGGACCGACAATGGCGACGAGAAGCTCGAGGGGACCGACAAGGGCGGCGAGGAGCTTGGGGCGAACGACAAGGGCGACGAGGAGCCCGCGGAGACCCAGCTTGAGACCGTCCTTGCGGACTTCGGCACGGCGGCTGCGGACGAGGCGGCCGTTGCCCCGTGAGGGCTGCGCCAGCGCGCCTCGCTCGTCAATTCGAGCACTATGTGGTGATCGAGAGGTGGAGAATGAGGAGGACTGAGGAGAAGGAAGAGGAGGGGGAGGAGGAGGAGGAGGAGGCGGAGGAGATGGAGGAGGAGGAGCAGCAGGAGCAGGAGCAGGAGCAGGAATATCAGGAGGAGGACGAGGTCGAGGACGATGAGGAGGAGCAGGGTGAGGATGAGGACGAGGGTGGGGACGGCCTCGAGGAGGACCACGTTCGGATGAGGATGATGATGAGGACGAAACAAGATGCGGATGAGGATGCGGATGAGGACGAGGATCCTTATCCTCATCCCCACCCGCATCCTGATCCTCGAGACCTTCGAAGGTCTCGTGGACGAGGAAGGTCTGGGGTGGCGTGCCCTCGGATTCGGCCAAGATGGAGCTCTGCTACAGTCGTGCGGTGTGACATTCGTGCGACAGCATTCTCTTGTGAAGAATGCTACTCCTCATCCTTAATCTCACTTCCTCATCCGTATCATCCTCATGCCCCCCTCCTCCTCCCCATTTCCTCCTCCCCCTCATTTCCTCCTCCTCCTCATTTCCTCCTCCTCCTCCTCACTTCCTCCTCCTCCTCTCCTCATGCCATCGGCC